CTTTTTTGTAAATTGGTATTACCAATTGGTTGCGCAGACAGCTTTGTGTATCCCTAAGCTAAAGGATCATAGCAGGGTCCATTGACAGGGATACTGTTACCCATACATAGGTTGAAAGACCGTCTTGTGATCACTTACAATCGCCCAGAGAGGACGGTATATTAAAGTGGCCTTCACTGCGCCGTAACCAAAATAAAATAAAAATTCTATTTAACGATGGCGTCAATCCTCTTCCTACATTCCCTCCATCCCGCCATCCCACCATCCCGCCATCAACTTTACAAAACTACCAGAATCGCCACCACCAACAATATTATTCTTTTATTTTATAATCACTGAAAAATAAAAATCGAAATAATGGCCATATAATAAAACCTCAACACTCGGAAGTCATATACAATATTTCTCTATACCTGAAGTGTTATATGTCACCATTCTCAGAGCTGACCTTCAACTCTCCAAGTCATATAGTATTCATACCACCATAATTCCGACACCTTCTTCGATCCCAATGACGCCATTCAATTCCGTCCCATCCCATCTAATTCCATCCCATCGGACATAATTTTCAAAGCTCACGCCTTTCAGTATACTTTTACGCGACTGGGTCTAGACCAAGCGGACGCCACCTAACAAAAAGTCTCGCGATGTTAATCTCTCGTCATTAGCATGCGCCATGAATGTCAAAACTCTGTCAGACTGACTACTCACACGGACCACCCACACGGACCACCCACACGGACCACCCACACGGACCACCCACACGGATCACCCACTCACACCGCCCACTTCTCGCCCATATAAAAAATACACTACTATTAAAACTTGATATTTTTAAATAAAAAATAAACTCATATTATTTTTCTCACGCATTGTTTTATTCAGTTTTCTTCTAATAATAAAGTGTTTCTCTCAATCATTTGTAAAGCAGACATTGTATTTATGGGCAGACAAAAATGGTTTAAAAAAAAAATTTTATTAATATTCAAATATATCGTCAGAATCTTAGTTCACCACCTATAAAGGCGGATCCATCCTCCACAGGGCGTAGACCTGTCCTGACTTCGTGGAAGAGAACGGAGTGGGGAGGAGATCGGGAACGCTGGGGTGTGAGGCTAGCTATGGGCTTAAAAAATAAAAGGTGAACAGGGAACGAAACTATCAATCTAAGCTAAGCTAAAGGGATAAACGAAAGCTATATCTAAAGACTACCCACTACGTAAACTAACTAGAGAGGGGAAACTAAACTACCCCACACCCACCACACCCACCACACCCACCACACCCACCACACCCCCCATCCACACCACACCAACACCCATCCATCCGACACGCCGCTGATTCACATAGAAAAAAGGTCAAGATTAGTATATCTATAGACTATACTACTCCCTCAACACAAATGAAAAGGAAATAATAGACTTACCATGCACAAGAGGAAAACAGAGATGGTCTGGCTGGCACTCTTACTAAATAACTGTGAAAAAATTTTATGCTTTCGTCATTAGATGATGACATAGCAGCATGCATAGAAAATTGTAGATCAATGGATTGATTGCTCTGACTAGAAGCAATATAAAGACTTTCATTTTAAAAACCCGAATTTCTTATATGGCTACCCATTTTCGTGAATTGATTTTATATAAAAATTTACTTGACACATATGTTATATATTAATATATTATTTCTTAAAAGAAAGGTTGTAAAACTGTACCACTTTAGTTGGAATATGAAAGAGAAAGTGGTCCATATATATATATGTATAGACTATAAGAGCATATCAAGAGACTCTTTATATTATCCCAGCTTTTTATTAAAGCAAGTCTCATAAATTAAAAATATTATTGACATGTTTAAAATGCAATTAGTTTTTTTTTTATTTACCGAATTGCTATAGTCGATAAGAGCAGATATCTAGTCTTAAATTATATATATAAATGTATTACAAGAGAACTAAAAGTTTTCACAACTGGGCATAGTAATATATAATATTGAGAGTATCGGGTTTTTATATTAGATAATAAGCAAATATAATAACAAGAATGTTTTAATAAAACATATAAGAATAAAAGGAATCTATACTTTATATAAAGGTTTTGATATGGAATATATATCATAGAATTAACTTTTAGTTATATAATTAAATGTTATGAAAGAAAGAAAGCGCATATAGAAAAAAAAATTATTCTGAACACTCTAATAAACTGACATCATGTTCATCGCACTGCTTGAGATCTTTATTAGAAATAGATCCACTAAGAAAAAATTGGCAATTCAACTAATGATTATAAAGAATGCTTATAATAGCTTTTAAAATCACTCTCTGAATCGCTCCTTTTTTGTAGTGATATAATATCTTACTGAAAATTATATAAACTAAATAGGAATTAATTTAATATGTTCTTATAACAGTTTGATCCACGAAATAGCTCGATGGATCATTAACTATCGCATTGTTTTTTTCTTTTTATTAATATATTAAATGTGTGACAGATACTATATATATGTCTTTTCTTTAATCCACCACACACACATACGCACACTCACCCAATTGTCTACCAATATATTGGCTGAACTGGTACAAAATATACTTGATTGTATGTTCCTTTTATATTTTCTTACAAACTAAGGATTATAATCCATAATTCGGACAGAATGCACTTTTTTGTAAACTGTTATTACCAATTGGTTGCGCAGGCGGTTTTTGTGTATCAATAAGCTAAAATAACATAGCAGAATCAATTGACAGGGATACTGTTCCCCATACATAGACTTAAAAACCGCCTAGTTCTCACTTACAATCGCTCAGACAGGATGATATATTAAAGTGGCCTTCACTGCGCCATAATCATAACAAAAAAAACTTTTTTTTACGGTGGCTTGCATCCTCCTTCTACATTCCCCCATTCATCCATCCCGTCATCCTTTTTGAGAATATTCATTCCTTTTGGGAATCGTCATTCATATAATATTACATCTCATAGTAGACAGAAGTCGGCCCAGTATAAAAATAAAACATATGTATGATTAATAAGAACTACAATTTCAGTTAACCAATAAAAACCGAATATGTTATATCAGCAATATGGTCCTGTCCGGATCGGCCGCCTATTGAGCTCGATCTGGACTGAAGGGATATTTCCAGCAATCTTGGGCCGTCGGAATCCAGAAGATAATAATATCGTAAAAACATATATGCTAGTAATAATAGTTTTGCTTTCTTATAAATATATAGCTTGTATCATACCTCTCTCAAATAATTCCAAAATTGTTCATATATCCTGTCTCCTCAAGATTCTAATTAAAATTAGATTGGGTTTAATCTATAGATAATAATACAAGATATATTGGAATATACTTCTATAGCCGATTTTTATTCCACGGTATATATTTACAAATCATTCACAATCGCATTGTTATTTATATTTTTGTTAATACTTTTAATGTATGATAGAAGCTATATATAATAATATAATTTAAACTATGTTTTCTAGTATGTTTCATAAATAACACACTATCCAGATCCATACACATTCTTCTATAATTATACTTAATGAAATTGGATCAAAAAGCATCAAACATTTTACACCAAAAAAGCAAGAGCCTACAGAAAAATATTACCAAGTCAAAATGAAAAGGGTGATATTCATAAACCAAAAGTAACTTTCGAACTAAATATATATAAACTGTTATCATGTTTTGGATTATATTATCTTATATATGTTATTATTATTATTCAACACACTGGCACACACCAGAAGCTACTCCCGAACTATATACATATATGAGCCTCTATCATATTTTGGATATATTATCTTGTATATTTTATTATTATTATTCAACACACGGACACACACCAAAAGCTACTCCCAAAATATATATATATACGAGCCTCTATCATATTTTGGATACACTATCATATATATTTATTTTCCTTTTATTCAATATACGGTTACACACCAGAAGCTACTCCCAAACTATATATATATAACCTGCTATCATATTTTGGGCTTACTATCATATATTTTTCTTTTCTTTTATCCAACACACGCACATACGCACACTCGCACACTCGCCCAATTGTCTACCAATACAATTGCTGCACTGATACAAAATATACATATTGTCTATTTCTTTTTGTGTCTTTTTACAACCTAAGGATTCTACTCGATAATTCGGACAGAATGCACTTTTTTGTAAATTGGTATTACCAATTGGTTGCGCAGACAGCTTTGTGTATCCCTAAGCTAAAGGATCATAGCAGGGTCCATTGACAGGGATACTGTTACCCATACATAGGTTGAAAGACCGTCTTGTGATCACTTACAATCGCCCAGAGAGGACGGTATATTAAAGTGGCCTTCACTGCGCCGTAACCAAAATAAAATAAAAATTCTATTTAACGATGGCGTCAATCCTCTTCCTACATTCCCTCCATCCCGCCATCCCACCATCCCGCCATCAACTTTACAAAACTACCAGAATCGCCACCACCAACAATATTATTCTTTTATTTTATAATCACTGAAAAATAAAAATCGAAATAATGGCCATATAATAAAACCTCAACACTCGGAAGTCATATACAATATTTCTCTATACCTGAAGTGTTATATGTCACCATTCTCAGAGCTGACCTTCAACTCTCCAAGTCATATAGTATTCATACCACCATAATTCCGACACCTTCTTCGATCCCAATGACGCTCTTACTCATATTTAAAATTTTCAACAAGCAACATTTGATATATGCTACTACATAATTTGACTTAGATTCACTCGTTTAATAAAGTGCGACTACTTCATACAAGGCTTTGTGTTTTATTAAACAAAAACATCAGGCCATTTGTAGGAAAAGTATAATGTACACAAAAGAACTGTTTAGGTAACATTTATGTGTACACCATATTTATGTGATTTGCGACCTCTATTATAATTCCCAATTTGGACTGTTAGCAGCTTCAAGTGAGTACTAACTCAGATATTACGGAAAACATTACCGAAAATAATATATATCTGTGATGTATATGTATTCAATTGTGAAACACATGGTTTATTATAAGAAAATGTCTGAGTATAGTAAAGTGGCTCAGAGTTTATAGTTTAAGTACAAACTATATTAATATATTTATATGTTTTATAAAAGAAGCTTCTTGTATTTTCTATCTACGTGTAACCTCACAATCGTTTTATCGTCTGAACTATATTTAAAGTAAGCACAGGAACTAATCGGATACATATATAATGACTATAATATATATATATATTGAATTTTACCCGACCAAACCAGGTTCTCTTTTTATTGTATTAATCAAGGCTTTTAAACTAGTACAAGCCTTCTTTAATTATTCTTCTTCATTTATATTAATTATCAACATTTTATTTTTATTTGCTCTATATATTTTATTTTAAAATTTGTTATCTTCGCATATCTCAAACAGTCAAATTTATATCAGCTTCTATCTGAAATATAAAAGTTTGGTAAAGCGTTATATTCACAAGTCTGAATTATTTTATTTTATGGAAAAAATATAGCCTTTTTTTTTTATCTTTGTGGCAACTTCGACAAGGATTTAAAATTTATTGATGCAAATACTCCCATAATTTATGTTAAAAAAAACTAAATTGAACTGATGGGTGAAGTGATTTTTTTTATCTAGAGTTGTGATGTTTGATTTTAAGAAAAGATAAAATTACCTGATCGTTAGAGATGCTCTTAGAAATAATCAAACATATAGAATACAATCAAAGAAAAGTATATATTACAGAACAATCTTCAATATATATATCGATTGTTTAAGTCAGGGGTATCATAAGAGTAAACTGATATAAATCGCAAGTGCAATGTCTTCTTTAAACACAATAAGAATAAACAAATATCAGAGAGAATTAAAGGGAACAAAGACTCCGTGTCTATAAATAAAATAAATTTATATAAAAACGGATTTGATTTAATCAAATCAAAGCAGATGTTTAAAAAATTCAATAAACAAGTGAAGGATAAATTGTTTTTAATATTTAATTATATTTTTTTTATTTTTCTTTGGATTTTATTTTTATTATTATTATTATTATTGATAATATCCAATATTTAACTGATATTTAGAATGTATACTTGTTCTCAATAAGTTGTGAAGTGTTTTTTGTATAATAGTGTTTTCCTTTTTTTTATTTTTCAATAAAACTTGATATTCCAACATCAAATAAAATTATTAAATTCTTAGTTGATAAGATTCTTAGTTTTGTTTTATTTCAGTTAAATATATTTGAAAATCTTATATAAATCAAATAAACATATATATTTTATTAAACCTGATAAGATACAGCTCTTATAATAAGAATATATTTTCTTTTTCGTCTATCTTTACAATTCTTAACCAGGGAGCATATTGTCCAATTTGACATTTCATATTAAATCCGTGTCTGATAAAATAGGGTGTTTCAAGTTTAAAGATCTTGGAATTCAAGGTTTTTATTTTCTATCCATACTCTATTAATTAGCTAATAACATCTAATATAAAAATATATTACTGAACTTCCTTATGTAAAGTTCTGTAAAAAATAATCAACTTCTAAAAATCTAAAAGAAACCTTTTGAAGCTTTTTTGATTTACATATTTTTTACATATACTTCACTAGTTTCAGAATCCTTTTTGAAGCTGACTTACCTTTTACACTCGCCGATGGAAATATTTCCATTTAAAACACCCTAATGGTATCTATTCTGTCTTTTAATACTACTCGAATGGAGACTGAAAACAACACTTTCCCACTGCAGGAGTAAGTAGCGGATTTCAATTTTCAAGCTAATTCATACTCCGAAAATTCGATTTATTTAAAAGCCCGCCGCGCCTCTTATTCCACTCGTTTTTTATCGTCTCTAGCTCTTTAATGCACTTGTTTTCAGCAAAAACGAATTACTAGAACGCGAGATAATCAAGCATTTAGTTGAATTACATAAAGTACAAAGATATAAATTTGTGTTATTTCAAACTGAGTCTATAAATCTTTAGTTATGCTTTTTGTAGACCATTATTTTAACTTTAATAAAACAGAATATGTATACTTCTGTTTAACATAATATATGTTCTTTACTGTTATTGTCAGCTGAGTGAGTTTAGTATACTATAGTATTCTCTTTTAATCTCTTACTGTAAACTGCTAGCCTTTGTCAAGCAAATATATCTAGAAGTACGAATTATTTTATTATATCTCTGTTCTTGAAAAAAAAAACTTTCTTTTAATAACTACAACTCATTTTGCCCCACTGTGAAAAATTCATTTTATATTTTTTATTAGTAATCTTGCAGAGACGACATTTTTTGATGGGATACAACATTTCTATCTTGCCAGACTAATTTGTTGTGACTGCATGTCCTGAGTTTAGTGTCTTTCTCTAATCCTTCAGGGCAAAATGTCAAGGCTATTCTTTTGGGCGTGAGAGTGCTGTCTTCTAACCACCCGCACCACCTGCCATCAAACGTCTAGCCTATGCAGATGATGCTTTAGTTTTTGTTCAAACAAACTACGATCTTGATCACCTTTACTACTGACTTGACCTATATAGTAAGGCCTTCAGCACAAAGATTAACTTCTCCAAGACTCTGGCGTTTTCATTGTTAGACACCACTATCAGAATGGTTATATCACTGGAAAAGCACCTCTGAATACACTAGTCCTGAAATAATTCAGTGATAGTGTATATGTAGGGTATTTTTCATCTCATCACCACTTTTTGTGTTCAAATAAAAAAAAAACCTACTTTTACTACATTCTATTGGCTCGGATATAACAAGCAACAAAAGTTATTTTATTTATTACTATAAAGTCTTTGTGAATAGATAAATTTATCACCTGTTTCCCTTTTATTTCATTATTAAAAAAACACAAACGTCATGTCTTCTACTATCGAACAAAACTTTGAAGAGTGCTATTGTACTGAGTGCATTAAAAATTATAATGGATACACCTTAGTGTCAAAGAGAACTGCCCAGCGTCATGGCAAGAAAGCAGCTTTAAAAGATGCTATCAGAAGTGAACTTGGTATGTCTTTTAGAATATAAAATTTGCCTTTTTATATACTAATAACTTTTATATTAAACACGGGTGCGCAGAGACGTGTAATGAACATTGATGTGGAGCGTAAGACATTTTTATTTGGGTATCAAAAAAAAACAACTTTCTTATTATATTCCATATTTGTAGCTATTGTAGTCCAAGAATCTGGATCCGTGGAAGTTCTTGCACGTCAGTCTGACTTACCCGTTTTGGATATCTCCCCTATGTCAGTTGACAATGAGGTCGATGTCGATTTCAATGACATGGACTTTGAGTATGAGAGCAATGAGAATGGAGAAAATACTGTTGATATTGATGTTGAAGAAGTTGACACTGAATGTTCGTATGAAAGTCAAAAAATATCTAAAAAAAGTGAAAAAAATTAATATTTTTAAATAGGCGTGTTTTCAAACAGTAGTATGCCTGAGAATCCTGTACACAGATTCATCGCAACATTCACTGTGCTATTTGCATCCCGCTACGTGGTCAACAAGGGTGCAGCTGTCTTGATTGAGTTCATCAACGAGCTCTTGAAGATTTACGAGCGGGACTTCCAGCTTCCCACAAGTCTGCCTGGTATTCAGCGTATGACGGGATTATGTGAGCTCTCCAAGGGCATAAGACGGTTTGTGGCCTGCGAGGATTGTCATGCAATTTACGAAGAAAATCAATCTGTTCCTCCTTGCTGCGTCTTTGTAAAGAAAGGTGCTCGTGCAGATTGTAACTGTGAATTGATAAAGAAATCTTCGTCTGGTGCTTTGGTTCCCAAGCGTAGTTTCCATTACCAGTCCATCAAAAATGCTTTCAAGATTCTTTTTAATCGTCCAGGCTTCGAATAAAAGATACGTCAATGGAATACAGGACCAAAATTAGTGGACACAATGTGCGATGTGTACGATGGTGCGGTTTGGAAAGAACTCAAGGATAGTAATGGCGTTTCATTTGTTGAGCAGTCTCGTTCGCTGATGCTGACGCTCAATATTGACTGGTTCCAGCCATTTGATAAAGTGACATACTCTTGTGGTGCAATCTACTTGACCATCGACAACTTGCCTCGCAGTGACCGGTTTAAAGCCGAGAACGTAATCCTCGTAGGACTTATGCCTAGTCCCGAGGTGCCTAAAACCGACGAGATAAATAACTATCTTGAGCCAATTGTAGATGAGTTGATACAGCTGTATCGTGGAGTAAGAATCCCAACATTCGAGTCTCCTGCTGGTGAAATGATTCGTGCTGCATTGATGATGGTTGCCTGCGACATCCCAGCTGCCAGAAATACAAGCAGATTTACTGCGCACAATAGCACTTGCGCATGCTTTAAGTGCAACCGTCATTTCACTCGTCTTGACAGCACAAGCAAGATTGATTTCCGTGGATTTAAAGAGTCTGAGTGGTGTCGTCGTAACTGTGAGGAAAATAGGCTGCATGCTGAGGAGTGGAAGAACGCAGTTACCATCTCAGAAAGGCAGCATCTGGAAATCAAAAATGGTGTTCGATGGTCGCAGTTGCACTGCCTTGGATACTTTGATCTAGTACGTGGAACGATCATTGATCCCATGCACAACCTGTTCTTAAGGACAGCAAAAATAACGATGGATCAGTGGATTGAACGTGGTATTCTTGGAGACAGAGATTTCACCGCCATGCAAAATATAGCTGATAAGATGATTGTGCCAAGGGGATATACTGCATTGAGAAGCAAAATCGGCAAAAAAATTGCATTTATGAAAGCAGACGAGTGGAAGTCGTGGGTATTGGTGTATTCTCCTGTGGTGATGAAGTCGGTGCTCTCATCCTTGCATTTCAATAACTGGATTGATTTTGTCCATGCATGCCGCCACCTCGTAAAGCCCAGCATTACATTTGATGATATTAATACCGCCCATAGACATCTCGAAAAAAATTGTGAAAAATGCAACGAGATTTACACCGCCACGATCCTTACCTGTAATATGCACTTACACCTCCATCTTCGAGAAACTATTCTCGATTTTGGACCAGTGTATAGTTATTGATTTTTTGCATTCGAGAGATACAATGGCCTACTCAAGAATATCAGCACAAACGGCAAGGACGGTTTTGAAGCCACGTTTATGAGATGCTTTGTTGAAGATATATACAAAAGTGATTTTGTTAATTCTGCTCTCACATGTCCCACTCAAGCTCCCTTTCTTCCTGTCCTTTCCAAACTTGTCTGTTTATCCACACCTGTCCTTACCTCGCCATATGCCTCCTCCACAATTGTTCAGCCACCATTCATTTTGCAAGCATTTGTGGATTCTTCTGAAACTACCAGAATTCCTATCTTAGGCAACGAACCTCTCCCACCTACATCCTTCCCACTTTCAGTTAGTAAACCTTCTTCAATGGGTGATATTGATTATCCCCATTTGTTGGAATACTACAAACTCGCGTACCTCACTCCTGATCTCGTCCATTATCAAAATGCTGCTGCCTCTCCATTTTTTGTCGACAATCAGATTATAAAGTGGAAATCAATCAATATTCTTGGCCAAGTGTACTATGGCAATAATGGCACCACTGGCCGCGGATCATATGTCCAATCATTGTTTCTTGGCAGTGATGGAAGTACAGAAACAACCTTCACTTGTCAAATCAAGTATATCTTCATTCATTCATTTACTCCTCCTCCAACGTCGCCCTACTATGAAGCCGATTCCACTCATCATGATCAACATGTATTTGCGTTTGTCAACTGGCTTCCATTACTTGGAGATAAATCACGAGAGAAAGATGGAGTTGACATTTGTGGTTTAACACCTTTGCCATCAAACTATCATTCAATTTTACCTATACATAAAATCTCTTTAGAAGTAGCAATTGCTAATCATGCAACACGACTTGTCCAAAAAAAAAACTGGTAATTGCCTTACCAAAAAAGCTTTATGCTTAAAAAACAATAATAAATATCCTTTCTTTCCTTTCTTTCTTTTTTAAAAAAGAAAAAGAATAGTAAATGACGATAACAAAAAAGGACAGAGAAAAATAATTACTATCTCTATATAAATCGTCAGCATTGAGTTTGTGAAGATGAGAATAAATAAGATGAGATAAGCAATAATTTTTATTATTTTTATTGTGGCCCATCTCTAAGGGTCCACGGAGGGAAACACAACGCGACGTCATCGGGAACTGGTTTCTCAGACAGGCTAGTGAGATTTCTGTCTAACAATTGGCGAATGTTGTTACCCAAGTTTGCTCTCACAATCTCATCAATGTTGAAGATGAGGCTATTAAACTAAAAACATATTTATATATAATATGTTAAATATTATTCAAATATAGAAAATTATTTCTTGCAAAATTATTTACCTCATCACTTCTCCAAAAAAGACTGGTAACCTATACAATGCGCTTGCAAGGTCTCCCAAGAAACTCGTCCTCTGACTCGCCTTCAGACATTGCTGATTCGATCATCAGCCCAGAACAGTTTCTCTTCATTAAAGCATCAATTGAATCCTTGTTTGACACATATGCCATTACGCGGCGGTTGAAGTGCTGTAATTTTGTTTTATATATTAATATTAATTCTATGGTTGAATTTGGGCTGAAATATAAAACAACACTCACTTCAGTTTCTCTTGCAGCTCGTCTTCCACGAGCGTTAGTGGCAGCTCTCACCATAGGATCTTCCCTGTCCTTACGAGTTATGCTCCAGAAGTTTGTGTGCACCATAGTACTGAATTCGCTTGTTTTTATACCCTGCCCAACAAACTTTGGGAGCAGGTAACTAAGAAGATTGGCAACGATCTCCTTGTTGGGGCTTCTATTAAAGAAGACATCCGTTTCCCACCTTGGCTTTGCCTCGTTGGCGCTGACAAGGGCATGGCGCTGACAAGGGCAGGATCATTGGAAGTAAATTTGTCCCTCCGCATGTACCCTCGAATCAACTTCTATTTAACAAAAATGGTTAATGGTTGAAATATTGGATATAGTAATACTTACAAAGACTTTGTCCTTGTTTTCACAGCTGATTTCAGAAGCGATGCCAGCAGGAATTCTGACAATGGAACTGGCAGCAACGGAAGGATTATCAAGAGAAACAGAAGCAGATGTCTGGGGTCCATTTCCTTGTCCAAAGCCAGCACAAATGGCTTTATGCATCGTGGTGAGTTCACCACGTACATCGACCATGGATTTCTCCATTTCTTTCATCTTGGCTAAAAGATTTTTGTATTCATCAGACGGATTAGGAGCAATTTGGCGTATTCCAGTCATGATCTATAATATTAAATAAAGTATATTTTTCAGTTGTTTAATTTTTAACTTTTAATTCACAATGTTTGATTTCAAATTAATGATTTATTTCTTACAAGCAAGTATGTATGTGAGCAAGTGAAGAAGTGGAAGAGAGAGAGTATGTGTGTGTGTGTAAGCAAGAAGTGTTATGATATTCCAAACAACTTCTTTATATAAGTATACTAAATGGAACTGTAAATATATCAAAAATATCCGCTTGTAACTTTGGGATGACAATCCGTCATTATATTATCTTTTTGGACTCAATTGGTTTTTTTTTTCTTTTTTGTTTCAAACACACACACTTCTTTTCTTTTCTTTTTTTATCTTGTCCTTCCTATTTCCCGTTTTGTCCTTTTGTCTTTTTTATTCTTTTTTTTTTTTTCTGATTTCGGTTTTGTTTCATTTTTTCTTGTATTCTTTTTTTCTCTCTCTCTTTCCAACTTTTATTATATTCACGCGTTTTTCTGGTAAGACATATTTTCTTGACAAAATAAAATACTTCCTTACAAACATTAAAATAATTAATTTATTTTACTGCAATAAGCAAGCACACACTTACTCTGCCTCTCTTGCACTTTTATATACCTCCGTTTTTCTTTGGTAAGACGATCTCTTTAAAATACTATATATATACATACAACTAAAAAATAATAATTGTTTCTGTTGTCATAGACACTCGCGTTTTAACTTCTTCTGATGCATCCTCTTCACAATGGCCATCCGGATTAGCCAAGGTTAGTAAATATACTTTATGCCGTCATCCTATAAAATTATTCTAACTTTTTTCTTTCTTTCTTATAGGCCATATTGCCAAAAATACTCTCTACAATTAAACACGGCCATCAAAATGGTAATATTAAGGAGATATCAAATTTACGATAGTGTGTTACAGGTTGAGAGCAATAAAGAGGCTATCGTGATTGGATATATTTGAACAAAAAGTAGTGTATAAGTTCCTATACTCTAGTGTTGAAGATATGTGTAACTATAGTAAGGGGAACCCCATCAGATCCAGGATCAGCTCGCACTTTTAAGTATTTTAATAAAACTATAAGTTTTAGACAAACGCCTATAGTGTACATATGTAATTGCCATATGGAGAATACGAATTATTCATATCTGTGGCACCTTGCTTTGACACCACACTAGTCTTCAGCTCGTCACGAACCTAGTGTCTAAGGTACTCTGCCCATAGTTTACAGGTCACCCAAATCGAAGCATATTTTTAAACTAAACACACCCATTTCCGCACATGTGTATGTGAACCCATTTTCCCAGTGTATAATTTCTGTTCTCGGTCAAGTCGCAGTGCTTAATATGTTGATTTTCTTCACACTCTTGGATGTTCTACACATGACACCTCTTCCATTAGACATTTTACATCAAGTACGCTCTTGTGGATATCAGTTTCTCATGCACCAAATGTTCCCTTCAATCAAAAATGACTATTTCAGTGTACCGAAAAAAAAGCAGGAGAGCTTGGTATTTTGGATCCCACGTGACGTCAGCTTGCTCTACAATTACGATGGATACGACTTCTTGTGAGCTTGGAACCCTCTTCGTTTGCCTCTTTTTATATTAGCTATATTACTTGTAGTCTTAGTCATACAATAGATCCACTTTTATCTTTGCTTTATCCTTCTCTTTGACACCAGTATTTCACTACCAGCTTACACTCACTAGGTTTTCTTATAGATACTTTTAATCTTCTACCCCTTACTCCACCGAACTATTTGTTATCTGCCACTAAATGTTTGACACTTCCCCTTTCTTCTGTTTAGGTTTCAGTTGGTCAAGGTCTCGGCACATCTAAAGGGCACAGTAAAGTGATGTTGTCAGATGCTTTTATTTATGACAATATTCTCTGCTGTCTTCATCATCTTCTTCCCTCTGAGGTAGTGCGTTTTTGTAATCATATTTCTTACTTCCGTAAATCTCATCAGAGAGGACTTCTTCTTCTGATTGGTTCTCAACTACGGGACTGTATACCTGACCCTTCTCCGACCAATACGATACAAGATATTGGTAGAATCGATCTCTCTCATGTACTAGAGTGAGTGGCTGCACCACACTGCTCTGTTGATAGCATTACTCCCAAAATCTTTCGTATCATTGTATTCTCTGTTCCGTCTCCAACTACCTTTAGCCCAGTTATCTCTCTGGCTAAATGCAAGTTTTTCTGGTGCATGGTCATCCACCACTCTTCATGGAACGTCTGGTATCGTTTTCTCCTTGACAAACTTTCTTGTAGATTCTGTCTCAATGAAATTCTACCTGCAAATTTTCCTTATCCAAAATGCCGTCTGTGTCAAAACACATCCAATATAGCAGCTCACTTTATCTTCCTTTGTCCGTAAAAATGGTCGGTCTGGCTGGAGGTGTGAAATCACTTCTTTGGTGTTCAACCATTATCGTCCAACGTCCAACATGTACTCTCTAGTTTGTCCTTCCCTCGCTCCATCTCACCTTCATTTCTTTATTCCAAACAAGCGGTGGCAAGTATGATACTAGCCATTTTGTGTATCCATTGTCGCCGTATTTTTTATGACGTTTCATTTTTGGTGGAATCCACCATTGCTGGAATTGTAATATTGGGATGTAGGATAGGTCTTTTATTTACGGTGCGGTGTGTTCGATGGTTTCTTCGATAAGGAAGAGGAGTTACACGCACGCGAATAGAGAGATAGTTGGGATGGGGGGAAAAGGGGCGCAACACAGTAGTAATAAAGAAGATAGTGATAAGGGGAACTCTCACTTCGTTACAGACGATTCTAATTGACCAAAGCGACCTATGTCCTCTGCGACAATTATAGACTTTACGAGAAAAAAAGATGATTTATTTGTAACTCATGTATTCGGGTAATATAACGGTTGGTCATAATGCGTGCCTACTACATTAGAACCTAGTTCGCCTGATTCTCGGTTTTTCTACTTTCAGTTCTCGCCGAACCTACTAATTGCCCGGTATGTGCCACATAACAGGGTGTTTAACCTGATTCTAGTATTTGTAGCTGAAAAGGCGAAATGACTCTTTGCCTCTTTTATTTTTCTTATGCTCTTGTTCTTTTTCCCAAATTGTCTCTCTTTATATATTTTTTTCCTGTCTTCTCTCTTGTACCCTCGAGCTGTCCTACAGACTGTTTTTCGTTTATTTTATTATTTCAAATTATGTACACCACTCATTGTGACGAGTAAGCAATAAAAATGTGAGGCCTCCTCTACTTACAAAAAAATCAGGGCAAAATGATATTCCCAAAAAAAAACTCTAAATATTCATTGTATGTATTAGCTTACTACTTTTTCACCAAAATTTGTGTGTTTATGAACCTTCCCAAAGATATTTTTATCTTCATCTTTTAGAGAATTAGACCTATTTCTAGGCGAATTAATGACAAAATGGTGTCTCATACAAAGAAACCCCTTGTATATTCAATTAGTAACTCTGAGTTTAGACGTGTCAATAAAGAAATAACTATCAGTAAAAAAAACACTATATTAATAGTCAATTATGCAAAGAGTTATAGGTTGTTGTCCTTAAAGTGTGACGCAATATTGATGGATATTTTACTATTTATTAACCTTCTTACGTGTATCATGACTCTGTCTTTTCACATATAGTACATATATTACCAGAAAGGGACACATTAACAATTACTTTCACTGTGAACTTGTGATTATTTTCTTGTCTGAACTTCACAGCAAAAAAAAACAACAGAAAACGGCGAGAGACAAAAACTTCCTTCTAGAGACACCATTAATGGAAAGAAGGAATAGATAATAACGGGAGCAACTGAGAACCTTTGGCTAGAGGAATTCCCGCCATGGTACTGGTAAATAACTTCTCATATCAACATTTACTTGACGCATGGTGGGCTGGTTATGTGATCTAAATGTTCAACTCAGTGACAAGTAAATAGATACAAATAAAAAGACAAAATTATTAAAGAACAAATAAAAAGAGCTATTTTAATACCTTATTATTTCTACAGCTACGACTACTTCCAAGCTCACTGCAATGAACTATACAAGAAACATCGGTGGATAAAATTCACCGTGTCAAAAGCTTATTGCACAAGATTATGCTGGTGAGGTGTGAACACCTATAATCAAGCCTTGACCTTGAAATGATAAGTTATTAGCCGTGTATATTAATTTGTATAATAAGCATCAATATAAGTGACAGTGCTCCTCTTGTCTCCTCCACAGAAAGAAGGCAACTAAATGAAGAAGGAGCAATGAGAGATTGAGTAGATATGTGTGTCCTGACAAAAGGCAATGATGACATGTACGATGTATCAGCAGCAGAATTTACCAATGGGTCGCTTGCACCAAGAAAGTTTGCTAAGGACCATAAAAAAGTGTTGCGGGAGGCAAAAGTCATCTTTGATAGCATCATGAATCTTGAATATGCAATCAAAAGAGATACCCAAAGGCTCCTCATGCCCTGATTCCAAGCGTAAGGCTGAAATGGAAAATTAGAAAATTATGAAATTGTTCGAACCAGGATTGTATACGGTCTAATAAATTGGATTAATACCAATTCTTGATCATGTTGAAGACTTAAATTTGTTACACTGCAAAAAAATCTTATAATAAGATCTAAAATATTTGTAATGATAAGCGTATATGAACTCAATGCTAGGTTTTAATAACGGGATCCTGGGTTTGTCAATGATAATACTTTACATACTACTATATAAGAAATTGCAATTAACAATTGCGCTCGTGTAAAATCGCAATGTTGTAATTCATTAGCATTTAGGCTATGTATTTATCTATAGTCACAAACTCTACTCAAATATACCTTTATATGTATTTGTTCTTTAATATAGTCACCTATTGAAAGCAATATAAGCTTGAATCAATGTTTATTAATAGAAGAAAAAACTCTGTAATAGAGGATCTAAAGAAGATTAAGATTCTCAATATCTTTTGAAAAGTATATTTACATCTTCAAAAGATGACGCTTTAGAGATAGAATATCATTAAAAAAATAGCCTTTATTGATTTTTGAATGGTTGAAAATAAAACTATTTAGTTGTCTGACACTGGCTGCTAATACTTGTTTTTAGCGTTTGCTTTCTTGAACATCCTATAGGGTGCATAGTAAGAGAATAATGTAAGAAAATAGAAGTGGGTTAATAAGAACTCAGATCTTTATAGTAAATTTACAGAATTATTAAAGCGATTGAGATTCTTCTTCCTCTTTTTCTCTTCTTTACATCAAAAGAAAAAATGACATAACAAATATCACTGAAGCAAATATGAAATTACAAAATTTCTTAGCATACACTTAAATTAATATCACTTCAAATAGCTTAAGCAAGTACTTGCTCTTCCGTTTATATTTATTATATAGAATAAATTAAACAAATATAATGTTTATTTTATTGTCTATAGAGAAGGCAAAAGGTATATTGTATATAAAATATTTAGCTTTATTTAAGAATACGATACTTTTAATACAAATATTTCTTGAGTGTAGCTTACAATGCTAATAGAGAAGTATAAAATGCAGAGGGGAAAGTGATGACAGTGGAACTTTACATATATAAAAAAAGCAGATCAGAAATTACAGCCAAAAATAAAATATGTTAAATTCTTAAATTGGGAGTCTTTTGCAGTCGACATCAATGATCAAAGTCTTCAGGGTCGGATGGACAGTACAGCAGCAATGAAAAGTGGAAACCAGTTGATGTTAGCTCAAAACCTAGACTAGAGCTCTACGAACTCGCAAAAAGCATATTTTGCAAAGCAAGAAGAATGGAGAGTATGCATAATATTATTTGCTGTATGAAAAATCTATTAAAAGTACTTTATCTAAATTTTAAACAGCAATGATGTTTCAGTAGTAAAATCCGAGACAGTGAACTTGTGAATGATCAGAAAACAAGCTTTTTCATGATATATCATGTCTTAAAGAGAAGACGCAAATTATAGAGGGCTCAACATGTCTCTCCAATTCCATTAGACAAAGCATCAGTATCGCCATATATCAAGACAATATTTGATATCTGTGGTAAGCAATAAGCGCTTGAATTAAATCCCAATGGTATAGCAAGAGGACCACCTGTCCGTGCATTCCTTGATACCATAAAAAAGACACGCGAGCGGGCTGCTAGAAAAAAAAAGACTTTGAAGATCGTGGAAAAAATATACTTCGATGGATAAACCAAGCAAGAATTAGAAAGAATCAGTGAATATTTTATATAAAAAAACGATACCCGCACATGTGGAGATAGACTTTGCTTTCCTATAAGTCATGCATTGATATCCTAAAGTCAAACAGTTCTTGGAATGGAATTCGCCGAAATTTTCTCTTTGTAATTAGATAACCAAGACGCCACACAATGTATTGCTCTGGTGGCAACCATTACCTTCGGAAACCCAACCAGCATGGAAAAGTGAGTACGGATAGTTAATGTGTCATCGTCAAGTTAAAGTCTGATCCGTCTGTGCATTGGCCATGAGCTATTTTCCGACTTTTCTTATCATAAAAAATGGTAGGGAGCAGCTCTTTTTAAAGGCGATGATCGCTTTACGCCCGTAAAATACAAAACGCAACATAAAATATACCTCGAGACATTCAAATCAGCCGGGATCCACATGTTAAATGGTACTCACACCAACCGCAAAAGTCCTCTTAGCATGATTGCCCAAGAGAACGTTTTTGGGGACCAAAAGCTAATGATTTAAAGATGGGGAACCGACTGAATAGTAGGATATTATATGGCAACATTGTCTGTGGAAGCAGTGAAGGCTTTTACAGGGCTCCAAGCATATTAATAGCTTCTTTTTGACACGTGCAGTGGTTCAACTCCTGGTTTCTTTACAACCAATGTCTTTTCCGATGATCGAATTTTGGAGACAGAAATTTGCAAATGGGGATGTCCAAGAGGACATAACTGGCCCGGTTTTTATTTTGGATTCACTCTTATGTCTTCGAGCGATATTTCTATAGGTAAATGTTGTTATTAAAGCACTGTTTGTAATATCTTCTCTAATTAATATTTCTTTGCTGATTTTTTTAGGACTATGTTCTTCTGAAAAATAAATTCCCAGGTTATTATCTTTGGACATGTACTATCTTCAGCTCAGAGGAATACAACATCTTGTAACAGCAAGCTTTCTTCCTAGTACAGTGAGAATAAGATGTGTTTATGAGCAATAACAGGAAGGATATGTTTATGTCAGAGATGGTAGATATTGTCAGAGCTGGTTTCGGAATGGTTAGTGTCTCTATAAATTTGATGCAGTTCATGATATGGACCCACCTATCTTCACATGTCGTCTCTATCAATAGACCAAACAACAATTTTACCGATTTCTTTGCTCTTTGATCCAATTAATTTTGTAATTTTACAATTGCACCACCATCAGACCTACCTTTACAACGTAAGATTATTACATTACATCCACCACCACAAAGTATTTCTCTACATAGCACTGTAGCACCTCAACAGTCATCACATCCAAAACAGCCGGAGCAGTATACAACGATCCGAAGGATTTTCTCTGTTACTGATGTGTAGAGAGAATATGCTTTCGGTTTTAATAGCAACCCATCTATGCAACTCCTAAAAATAATAATGGTACTGCATGGAGAAAAGATCGTTAAGGATCTAGGGTTTTTAGTAGAAAAAAAGAGCTGTACGATGCCATTAATTAAATTACAGATTTAGAGAATATATTGTCTGAAAAAGCTGCTCAAAGGATGGAGAATGACCAAATTCAGCTTGGAATCTCTCTAGATAAATATAGAGCTAGATTATCATAAAAAAATATAAGCTTATCTTCATTTAATTATCCTTCTACATAAATATTTACTCCTTTCATTGTTACATCGAGCTATTTGCCTTTATTTTATGTATGTCTTTCCAGAAAAGTGTATGAGTAGTAATTCTTTGTAAATACAAGTAATTCTAATCCATAATTGTATATTTTGGAGCATTATAAGGCGGGAAAGCTATCAATAAATATGCATTTTAGTAGTAGTAGTAGTAGTAGTAGTAGTCTTTGTTGAATTATGTGTCTTTAGTCGACAAATATTCATGTTAAAATAAAGACATCCATTATGATAAAAACGTCGAAATTACCCTCTTTTTATTAACAAATTTGGATTTTTTTGGGAAGTAAACCTAATTTTTTGAAAAGGGGTATCTTTATGCTCAATATCATCGCACCAAAAATAATGAGAACAAAGCTCAGTCAGGCTATGACCCACCAAAAATACTCTTACAGTATATCTTGGTCCTGTTTTTGATAGAATGAACTTGGCTCTACTTTATATGGTGAACCTAAAAACTTCTACTTACGATGGGAATAGGCCAACCGAAACGTATGCACATACACACGTACGTTTCCAAATTCATTTTCTAGTTAATGATACTGCTTCGTTGTTGAGAGCACCAAAAGTCAAGAGCTGTTTATGTAAACTGTGGGATTTCTGCTTCTTTTTTTTTGTTTTCTGAATACACCATTGTTATGTTCCATTTCCTTTTCTTTCTTATTCTTTAAAAAGTGAATATGATTGTTGTTATTGTAATAAGTTTCTGATATACATTTATTTTTACGTTTTTGATTTTGATTTGTTGGTTTATTTTTATTTTTTGTATTTATTCTATATCTAATGGGATTCACTGTGAAGATCGAACCTATACAATAAAATAGAATAAAAATAAATAAAAAAATTGATTAAATGGCATTACACATATTCACACACAAACACAAACAGTAAGAGAAAGAAAGGTACTTACTGCTTCAAAAGGCCGTCAATCTTGTCTGATGTATATCCAGCATTAATGATGTCTCTAGCTTCCTGAACCTTTCCGAACACATTGAACAACAAAAGACCAACGATCTTTTGGTCGCGAACATAAAATACAAGGCCCTTGCCAAACTAATTTTTCCAATAAAAGTATTAATAATGAAAATTATAATGCTACTGATAATGCTAATACTGATGCTAATAATTACCTTTTCATCTTTGAGATCAACCTGGATAGGTGAAACGGGAGCAGCAGAAATAGGTGCATCAGATCCCAAGGCAGCAGTACGAGGACTCTCGGCTTCAGATCCAGCTCCGACAGCGGGAGTATCCTTCGAAGTAGCCTTTGCCCACACACTTACAGTAGACAGCTGGGAATCCACAAGACCAACAGCCTCATAACCTATATTATTATTATTATTATTATTATTATTATTATTATTATTATTATTATTATTATTATTATCGTTTTTTTTACTAGTTTCTTGCGTTTGTTTTCTATTGAATCAATTAATGATAAAAATAATACATTACCAATCTCAGGGCCAAGATCAGACCTATCCACAAAGAAACACGCGCACATATATATATTGTAAATAGGTTGGATAAATGAGTAATTGCCGCACATACACACACACACACATATATATATATATATAAAGAAAGTTATATATCTTACCAGAACATGGACTGATGAGTAAAAGGCTTTGACCCACCAATCATGTTTTCACCGGCGTGTCTTCCACTCAATACAGCACTATAGACAAGATAAATAAATAAATAAATACATCTTAAAAATCCAATATATCATATAAAAAGAGAAAATTATGGATTTCCTTTATATCTTGAAAAATAATTGTTGGAATAGATAACAACAAACAACTTACTGATCATGATGCTCAATACGACGACGACCCAATTGGACATCATGGAAAGACACGACATCACCAGCAGCAAATACATCCGAGCGGGCTTCCAGTTCAGCATTGACCACTACACCAGCTCTCTTTTCATCGATCTCCAAACCAGCCTGACGGGCCAGGTCGACACGGGGCTCGAGACCAATGGCCACAACCACATGGTCAACGCTCAACTTTTCATCTCCCAAGTCAAGTACGACCTTCCCATCCTTGCCAGAGTTAATAGATTTGATGGACTTGTTGGATTTCACATCCACACCAACTAAAATAAGTATATAAATATAGTATATTTGTCAAAGAGTCAATAAAATAATAGTAACTATAGCAATAAAGATGTATATATGTATATATCTTATTTATTATTTATTTACTCACGGTCGCGAACCTTGCTAGTTGTCCACTTGGTGAGGTAGGTGGGGAACACATTTGCCATGTTGCCCTCTATAATTATAAGCGATATAAATTAGACATTCAATTCATCGCATTGCACATCGCATAAACGCATACTATATGCTTCCTATTTCTATTTCTATTCACACAAATCTATTATGTATGTATGCATGTCTATCTAACTCTTTTTAAATGTGTGTGGTAAAAATCCCAGGCTTTTCATACCTTCTGGGAAGACTTGGGTCACCTTGATGTTCTGTTTTTCAGCTTATATATAAAAAAAGAAAAGATTGAATCAAACCATCAATTTTTTAAATTGGTAATAATTAATCTGTCTCTTTTCTAAGAAAAAGAATCCCACTTACACCCTCTTTTAACATTCGTTTATATATATATACACATATATATCTTACCTCTGTGGGCCAATGCAACAGCCAATTCAGATCCAAGGAAACCACCTCCAACAACAGCAATGTGAGCACCTTCTTTAGCCTTGCTGTCCAACAACTTGAAATCCTCGATCGAACGGAATGTGGTTACATTTGCGTCCTGGACACCAGGGAATTTCTTGGGTGATCCACCGGTAGCCAACAATACCTACCAGCCAAACCCACCAAAAAAAAGAGAGAGAGAAAAATATAAAGGTAAAGGGGTAATTGAGAAATAAATAACATTTTGTTGTTGTTTTGTTTTACCTTGTTATAGTAAATTTCACTGCCGTCATCCAAAGTCACAGTGTGAGTGTCGATATTGAGTTTGACAACACGTTTGTTGAGCAGCAACTTGACCTTTTCCGAAGGTGTGTCTGAGCCAGCTGCATCCTGGAGAACTTCATAAAGCGATGCATCCTGATAGATGGTCTCGCGCTCATGTCCCTGCCAGTCCTTGAAGACCAGGGTCTGGGTAACCTTGGGATCCTCTGAGAACCAGAGTTCCTTTGACAACGGAGGGCGCATGTAAGGTGCTTGGGCTTCTTCGGCAATGATGATCACGTTTGCCAGAGGGTCCTTTTCTTTAATGGCCTTTGCGGCTGCATAAGAAGCAGTGCCACCACCAATCAGTACAAATGGTTTCTGAACCTTGGGTTTTTGTGTGCTTGTGCTTTTGTTGCTGTCGGAAGTAGATTCAGTAGGAATCACGGCAGAGTTTTTGACAGGCTCGGAAGGTTTGTCAGCAGCAGCAGTAGCGGTAGCGGTAGCGGCAACAGGAGTATGTTCGATTTTCTTTTGTTTGGGAGGTGGCGAGGTGAGTTTGAACAAGAGAGGACCAAACACAATCAAGGAGCCAAGGAACCAGGGAGTGTTGGTTCCGGCATTCTTAGGGCTAGGTGTTGCCTGGGCATAGGTTCGTTGACCGAGTCGTGCCTGACGAATAGGTACGCGTCCAATGGAGCGGGCGAGTGGTGTAGTGCGAGTGACAGACGAACGAAGGATATTCATTTTTTCTTTCTTTCTTTCCTTCTTTCTTTAGGCGTGTTACGTTTTTAACTTTTAAGGAAGATACGTATGTGTAAGTATAGGTAATCCTTTATTTTTTGATTTTATTGTATATCTATTTCTTTACCAGGGTTAAAAAAAGGTAGAGAGAAAAGGTGCGCATTTTGTCTGAGTAATAAAATATAAATATACTGTAATTGTATAAGGCCAAACATTAAGCTTGGTAGGTCTGGTAACACTAGGAGGATAAAAGGAACAGTCACGGAACTTATTTTAAAAGGCTTCTAGCTTTTTTTACTGTTTTTTTTGAAGGCCCAAAATATCCATATACCAAATTAAAGAACTGGGCTTGGGTTTAATTGTCTTGGCAAAGGTGGTGTTATACAGTAAGTAAAATAATTAAATAGTGATAGGCATGAAGAAGAAGAAAAAATAATGATAATTGAAACAATCGTATTCATTTGTGTTCTTTCTGTCTTTGACAAATTAACCAGGGAAACTAATCCATATGCACTGCTTATGTGAGTTAATAGGCTACAGAAACCCTAAGTGGAAGCTATAGGACCAGTGGCTATTTCGTGCCCTAAGAGAAAAAAAGGCGATTTTAGTGAATTGTTGCAAGTTTTTTGGGGTTTAAAGTGTTTTATAGTGGAATTTAAATTAAGTACCAACTTTTGTCTCTTTTATATATGTTCCACTTTCTACGCCACCAAGTTTTTGCAGTCAATGCTAAACATCTTTTTTCCAACTTCTTCAACCCAGTACAATTATTACAGATAAGATCTAATAGCTTACTATTCGGTATTTTGGGTGTATCTTAGCTATAAAAAAGTTTGAATTGTTAAAGGCCTTTAGAAGGAACACGCTTAATAGTAATCAAGGCTAGTATTTATGAAATTTAAGTTAGTGAAGTTGATAAAAGAAAGTAGATTTAGCACAGGTGACAGAAAGATATTTGTATAATGTACAGTCTAGTTGTCAAGATTACTCGCGTGCTCGTTAGAGATCTCAATAGATATAGAGAATTGCAGGGAATCTGTCTTGTTTTTTCTTAAAGCAAAGTTTTTACCATAAACCTAATTTCAAGAATATTTCTAGGAACCCGACGAAATTTATTTTTAAATTAGTCTATGAAATCAATTTTTGATTGGACAAGAACACCATCTTCAATTGGTTTACGACATCAACTTTTTGATTGCAGTAAAAAAAGAATATAACAAGAAAAGAGTGGGATTTTTGTTTACCGATTTGCATATTTATTCAATGCGTTTGAGAGCTTGACAAATTACGCATCTTTCTTTCATATTATTTTCTTTTATATTCATTACCTTTATCATATTCCACAGATAGTCTAATAGTAAGTAACCAAGAGAACCAAACAGAGAGTAAGTGACATTCCTCTCCATATTCTTATCTACTATCTCTTTATAAATTTTGATTCTAAAAATGCATTTGTTAAAATTCTAGTGAGAGAAAAGTGGAAGAAAAAGCGGCAGAGAAGACTCAAGAACAAGAGAAAGAAGATGAAGAAGAGATCCAACTAAAAGGAAATATGAGTCTCCCGCAATAATATCATTTCCAGTCAAGTCAAGTCAAAGTGCGAATGCCAAGGAAACAGCTTTCTTTTTGCTACTATAATACACTCTACTAAAAAGTTAAAGCAAAAAATAACATACCACACCATGCCCTATCTTACCCTAAAATAACATGACATAACATACAATAACATAAAATAAAATATATAAAAAAAACCAACTTGACTATCTATATCAATTCAATCCAAATACGATATATATACATCTGAATTTTGTGGTGTCGTATTATCTTTACTTCTTCAACATCTCCTTCTTTCTTCCCATTCAACTATTGAGTAAGGCTACTGGTGGCTGTAGTACAATAAATAATAAAGAGTTTGAATAAGTAAAGTGTTGTTAGACATGGAAGAAAATAGAAGAACTGGCTGGGTTACCCAATCAAACTTATATTTTGTTTGTCAAATACCTGACATGATCAAGACTTGATTGATTGATCGATTGATCCATTGATTGATTGATTGATTGATTGATATATAAAGTACTAGCTGTATATATATATAAACAATTGTACGCACCAATATACGTATATTCTTATGTTGCGTTTTGAGGTATACAAATTCATATACAAGGTTATGCTTGAAATGCCTATTGCAAATAAAAACACACGAAGCATTTGAGAGTAAGGACGTGTTTCAAGTCTGCACAAACACACTCACGCACATGTATATATATATATATATATACGCGCGCAAGTATATTTATTTTATTTATTGATACATGTACAATAATAAATAAATAAAACCATATACTAGATGGGTTATGGAACAACTGTGCAATGCAACACAGAGTTCTGGAAACCCACGACTTGCACACAATTTCCATAGTCATGTGGAAATACAGGTCCAGGTTCCTTTCCCATGGCATATTATTAATATATGTAATGTACATATATACATAAAATCATGTAAAATGTCAATAGCTCAAAGTATCTCCAAAAATAGAAGGCAGACTAGCACTACGGGAAAAAAAGGGAAAGTATTTGTTTAGGGGTATATTGTTTAAGTGTTCCAAAATATGCTTAGACGTGTATTCTTGCAAAGAAAATCTTTTACTAAAATAGCCCTTTTTATACTGTAGTATAAGTTGATGACGTTTCTTTTTACATGCATAACAACTCAAGTACTGGCACTTGAGGGCTTGATCTTTTGGATATCAGAGAATATAATTATATCTAAATAGTGTACTCAAATATAGTATGTATATATCATGGCATACTTGGAAATAAAAAAAAAGCCATTTTATTGCCATGCCAACTTTAATGTTTAAGCAATACAGTAAGTAGAACAAAGGTTTCGCTTCAACATTGAAACCACAAGTCTAAAATCAATTTTTCAAAATTATTATGTAGTAGTAGTAGTAGTAGTAGTACTAATACTAATTTACTTTATTAGTTTATAGATATGTATAACTATAGTAGAATCTATTGAGTCCATTCATGTCAATAGACACATGTATCTATGTATTGATACGAGTATTCAACAAACCAAGACAATCTCTGGTTGAATAATTTAACCAAATAATTATATGTAAATATATACATACATATATATATACCAACCATATTCTACGCCAAATATATAAACCATTCGTACAAGAAGGTAATTTGTAAAAGCTCGATTTAAACAAGAACAAAAATCACTTGGTTTATCAAAAGATGTACACACAAATTTATTCTTTTCTCCAAATGAATATGAACATGAAATCATCAAGTTCATCTTATTACGAGTTTCCAAGGTTCTGAATAAATCAAATAAAGCAACAGCCACAATAGAAACAAATGATACATACTAATCTATATATTAATCCAAGTCTTTACTTGAATATCTAAACACACACACACACACATATATATATATACAAGAAAGAAATGACAGATAGATAAAGGGCAAAAAAAAGAGACTGTCCTGTCCTGTCCTGTCCTTTCCTGCTTTTTTTTCAACATCTGTCTCCCTCTCTTTATTTCTTTGTCTTTTATATACATAGAATATAATATAATATATTTATAATATAATATAATTATATTATAACACAACCACAATTTTGTACATTTGTACACCGTGTTAATACCTTTTTATTTCTTTCTGTCGATTATCATTATTTTATAATTTGATTAATTGATTGATTGACTTGTTGATCCGCAAGAGTACTACAATGTCATCTTCTGCTGTGTCATTCGCAGCTCTTTTTCCACAACTAGACGAATTAACCGAAGAAGAAAAGTGCAAGTACATCGCACGCCATTTACCATGCGATCATTGTTCGGATTGCCATGGATGGCAGCCTGCTCAATCAAGCCAAGTATCCTTTGACAATACTTGTGTATGTGGGCATGATATATACACTCATGTCGACAACAAACAAGACATGACACGTCGACTCAAAGTAGCATTGCGTATAAATGAGCTTTTAGAGGTTAGCAACTTTTATATCTCTATCTCTATTACCATTACAAGTATAATTATATAGATAAAACAGTATATATAATTATATGATTATTCAATATAAAATATAAAATATAAAATATAAAATAAATAAATGCAAACAGACAAATAAGTCTATATAACATTTACGTATCCGTGTGCTTATTTCGGATAGGAAAAAGGAAAAGCCAATGATACTAGCTACGTTGACGAAGATATACAGTCCTTACGCAAGTATGTCTATCACTCAATTACATACACCCATATACGAATATCAGTTAATATAATTTAGTAAACAAGATCAAGATCAAGATTATTGTTTTTTTTAAAGAAGAAGTATTCAATTGGACACTACACACTACGCACTTCGCATTGCACAATGTACCTTATACATTGTACATTGTACAGTGTGTGTTTGTGTGTTGGTGTGGGTGTATATGCAAATTAAATACAATACAAGATATATGAATAGATAGGTAGATAGAAAATAAAGAAGAAGAAAAAGACTGACAAAAAAAATACTTGTATGCATAATGAATATTAGACAGATCCAGTTCAACGCATCACGTGCCCATTCAGGGGATTTTATCTCTGATGGATCTTCATCTACTGCTACAGGACAAGGTAAATTTAAATTAAATAATTAATTAATCAATTACTATTATTTCAAGACAAAAGAGAATTAAATATATATATATATATATATATATATATATATTAGATGAAGGATACTTGAAGCGACACTCGGAAGACAATCGAGACACAGATCATAAACGATTTAAAGCTGGATTTAATCAAGACAAGCACACAAACGAAACCCAGGTTCATGGATTTTCGTATGGTGAAAACGACGATCAAGAAGATGAAGAGGAAGAGGAAGACGAAGAAGAGGAGGAAGCAGAAGAAGAAGAAGAGGAAGATGATGATGATGAAGAGGAAGAAGAGGAAGAGCGTTCGGATCATGAAAATCAAGCCGAAACTTCAGAGCGTGAAGAAAATGGAGAAAACTCAGATCATGTTGAAGACGAAGACGAAGAAGAGGAAGAAGAAGAGGAGGAGGAAGATGAAGAAGAGGAAGAAGAGGAGGACGAAGAGGAGGAGGACGAAGATGAAGAGGGGGAGAAGGGAAATAATGAAGTTACCGAAAATGCTGAAAATGCTGAAAATGTTGAAATCGTTGAAACTACGGAAAATATCCAACCTAAAAAAGATAAAAGAGGAGACGTTAAGATAAAAGAAGAAGAGCTTGAAAGTACTTGTCACATAAGCGAAGACGAAGAAATGAAGGACACAGAAGCGATAAAGTCAAGTGCGGAACAACAATCACGATCACAGCAACCCGTGGAACCACAACCACAGGAACAGCCGCAACCACAACCACAACCACAATCTCATACACAACAACAAACGCATACACGACAACAAACGCATACACGACAACAAACGCAACCCCAACCACAATCACACGAACAGCCACAACAACGGACACAACCGCAACAACAGATACAGACACAACCAAAACCACAATCACAATCACTAACGCATACTCAACCGCAATCACAACCGCAATCACAATCACAATCACATACTCAACCACAGACACAAACGCAATCTGTCAGTAATAGTAATAGCAATAGCACTGGTGCTGTTACTGGAACTAATATTACGGCTGAAAATACCACCAGTACTACTACTGGTATTAGTAGTGGTATCAACAACAATAGCAATGCTTATATCAGCAACAACAACAACAACAACAACAACAACAACAGTAGCAGTAGCAGTAGCAGTCGAAAGACCAATGTCAGCTTTACAGCTCCATCGCCAATCACAGATCAGACGGTTATCAAGGAAGAAGTTATGGATATTGACGGTGAATTTGCAAAGGATAGCCCAGTAAATAAATCCGTGATAACAAAAGACGAACCAACCGAAAACAGTGTAATCATGTTAAAGACATTAGATGACTTTATGGTAAATATTGTGAAAAAGAAAATGGCTAACCAAATAACCAGATAGCCTAAATAACAAACTTGGTCACAACATATATTTATGTATTTATATAATAGCCCACAGAGAAGAAAGAGAGTGCGGCAATGATTGAAGAACGAAAGGGAGAAATTGAGATTAGAGTTATTGGGAATGACAGTAGTCGCGAGAGTATGATATTTCTCACCGGACTTAAGAATATTTTCCAAAAGCAATTGCCCAAGATGCCCAAGGAGTATATTGCTCGCCTTGTATATGATAGGTAAATGATTTTGATAAGTAACTTGATTTTGTTTGTACCGCAATTGCACACAAGATACAAATATTTTTAAGAAAAGAAAGAAAGAAATTAAATGATATTAGGGGCAGTCATAATACTCACAAAAATCACAATAATTATGGGTTTTATTACCTATAACTTTAGAAACCATCGAAGTATTGCTCTAGTGAGAAAGCCAATGAAAGTGATTGGTGGTATTTGCTACCGGCCATTTGACGCTCAAGAGTTTGCAGAAATTGTGTTTTGTGCTATTGCATCAACAGAACAAGTCAAAGTAAGCATAATTATATGTATATGTATAAAAGACATCAATGCTAATTTGTTTGGTTTCTAATTAAAATAATAAAAAACAATAAAAAAACAAAAGGGTTATGGTTCCTTTTTGATGAATCATTTAAAAGACTATATATCAAGCCACACAAATATGAAGCACTTTTTGACATATGCTGATAATTATGCAATTGGTTACTTTAAAAAGCAGGCAAGTGACAGGTGTGTTGTGAATTTTTGAAACATTTGAAAAATTTACATACAATATATATATATATATTATTGATATTGATATTAATAATATTACTTTTATTTAACTTGATTTCATTATAGGGCTTTACTACAGAGATTACACTTGATAAGCGTAAATGGGTTGGATACATAAAGGATTATGAAGGTGGTACTATTATGCAGGTAAGTCAATTCATATATATTGCGCATTTTTGTGGATATATTTACTAATAGGCCTGTGTATTGATGGGTTAGTGCACAATGGTACCAAAAGTAAAGTACCTCAAGGTATCAGAGATATTGGCTATCCAGAGAAGAGCAGTGCATGAGAAAATGAAGGAAAAATCAACCTCTCACTATGTGTACGCTGGATTAAATATGCCTGTGGACGAGAATGGCAATCGCAGTATAGACCCGCTCCAAGTCCCAGGTGTCCGTAAGTTTGTGGGTTACACTATCTTGTTTAGAAATTCTGAGCCCAAAGATAAATAAGAAACACAAGAACAACAACAACAAAAACAACAAAAAGGAAGGCTCACATGTGCCTTTTCTTCTTTGTGTATGTGTGTCAAATATAATGACCATAATAGGTGAATCGGGCTGGACACCAGAAATGGATGCTTTGTAAGGAAATTTCATTTGCATTTTTGCTGTCACTGCCACTGTTACTGTCATGATGAACTGTATAGTCAATAACTAGTGTATGTGTGTATATTTGTAGGTCAAATCGTCCAAGACACCCATCCCATTATATTATTATGCGGCATTTGGTTTCTGAGCTTAATGATAATCCATCGTCTTGGCCATTTTCTGATCCAGTTAATGCAGACGAGGTGACGGATTATTATGATGTTATCAAGGAACCTATGGGTAAATAATATCAAGACACTTTTTTATATATATATATAGTATTAATGTTACTAACAAAATTATCTTTGTATGTGTTGAATACTCTAGACCTCACAACATTACACAATAATGTAGAAGCAGGCGTTTACATGACCCTTGAAGATTTTACCAAAGATGTTCAAAAAATATTTGACAACTGTCGCTTGTACAATGCCGAGTCAACAAATTACACCCGCCTGGCCAATAAGCTAGAGAAATTCTTTGAAGAGCGACTCAGTGTCCTGACAGCTGAAGACAGTAGTCGATAAGAACTAAAGAAGTTGTGTATAAAATAAAATAAAATTAAATAAAATAATGCGCCTTATATATAATGATACTTTCATTCATTAAAATATTGCAACATAAAGTGTTAATTATGAAATCTTGGATATTGTATTTTACAACAAAAAAGAAAGTAAAACTCAAATGAAGAGAAATACAATCCCCCCTCTCTTTTGTATATATATTCATTATTAGCTTGCAGAATACAATACAGTCCAATACATACAGTTATGTATGCGAATGCTTGTTTGTATTCTTATATGCACCCAAGTACACACAACTACATGTGTCTGTATATCTAATTATATAAATGTATGTATGTACATGTGCCATATGAGGCGGATATTGAAAGAGGGGTTTGATGTCATCATAAAACAAGGTTGTAGACTTTTTTTTTCTTGTCATCCAAAAAGAAAGAGAAAGAAAGAGGGGGGGCGGCGGAAACAAAGTCGGAAAAGGGCGCATTACATCTCATCTAGAACGCGTAGTCTTTATTAAACATGGGAGAATCAAGAACTGAATTACTGGCATGGTTGAACGACCTCCTCCAACTCAACTATACCAAGATCGAACAGGCTGGAACAGGTACAGATGATGGTGTTTCGAGATTAACTTATTGCATCTGTCTATATGTATATATGTATATGTATATGTATATATATATATATATCTTTTATCCTAACCTGCCCTTTCACTTTTTTTTTATTCTTTTTTTTTATACGATGCTGATGTTGATGATGTTGATGGTGTTGATGATATGATGATGGTGTTCCGTTTACGTTGTTTTATTGCTTTATAGGTGCTGGTTATTGTCAGATTATGGACTCCATCTTTGGTAAGAGTTAGATGATAAATGTGGTGATTTGTTAATGTATAGAAATCGAATTTAACAGATGGCCATAATTGTTATATAAAATAAATAGGTGATGTGCACATGAGCAAAGTCAAGTTTGACACCAAGCATGAGTATGAATACGTTGGAAACTTTAAGATTCTCCAGCACACTTTTGACAAGCACAAGTAAGCGCTTTATTTTTTATTTTTATTGCAAGGTCTTTTGTACTCTTTCTACATATATTGTAAATGGTTTTCTTTTCTAGTAAATCATAACCACCAAATCAAATCAGTTACTCGATACTTTAATTCCCCCGCTCTACACAAGTTCTCTTTATATATATGATATTTATTTATTTTTCAAAATTATATGTGTGAATATTTGTTTAATCATTCTGTTTTGTTAATAGGGTTGACAAGGTAACAAGAATGAATTAATAAATGATAGAATTAATTGAAAAGAAGAAGAAGAATAGAAGACATTTGAATTATTATTCTTGGTGTATATTTTGATTTAATTTACTTACAAACACACACACACATATATATATATTTATACGTACGTACGTGGGTACGTACGTGGGTATTTATGTATTTATATCTATATCTATGTTTGAAAATATAAAAAGATCATTCCCGTTGACCGTCTGATGAAGTGCAAGTTCCAAGACAACCTTGAGTTCATGCAGTGGGTCAAGCGATTCTGGGACCAGAACTTTCCTGGAGGATCTTATGAGGCAGCTCAGAGACGCAAGGGTGGTCCCGGTGGTGCAGGAAAACCTTCAGGAGGTCCTCGCGCAACTGGTGCACCTGCAGCTGCTCGTAAGCCGGTTGGAGCATCTAGTGGAGTATCTGGTAATTTTTTTTTCTTTTCTTTTCTTTCTTGGTTATATATAAATCAATAGAAGCGAGAATAGACCACAACCACAACCATAATTCTTTCTACTACTATTACTACTACAAAGAAGAACCAACAATTACAAAAAAAAAAGATGTCCATTACATATTATACACGCGTTTAATTTTTATTTTCTTTTAACTTTTCTTTCTTTTTGCACATCCAATTTCTCTCCTTCTTCCCTTTTTCTATCTCCCCCTTCCCTATTCATTCTTGTTATGTATATACATTGTAATGTGTTGCTTATATTTGATTGATTAGCTCGTAGTGCCAGTCGCAACACTACATCTGGTCGCGTGTCTTCTAATAGTGCCAGTGCCAACACCCTTGACAACCACTCGGCTTCCATGATTATTGAGCTTAACAAGCAGATTGCCGAGCTCAAGATGACAGTAGATGGACTTGAAAAGGAGCGCGATTTCTATTTTGGAAAACTCCGGGATATCGAAATCATTGTTCAGGAACAAATGGAGGCCATTGAGCAGGAGGCTGCTGACCAGGAACCTCTTGAGGTGCCAGTTCTCAAGGACATCCAAGCCATTCTATACAGCACAGAGGTAAAAAGAGAAAGAAAGAGAAAGAAAGCGAAATGAAGAATGATAAAGAAAAGAGAGAATGGAAGACATACACAATCCTCCTTTCTCCATGACTTTCTTTGCTTCTTGTTTTTGTTTTGGTGTATATATACTATATGTAAAACAAAAACAAAAAAAAAAGTGCGTAGTATTTATTTATGTGTATTAAACTTTGTTTTCTTTTTGTTTATCTGTAGGAGGGCTTTGAGGTACCTCCAGAAGGCGAAGATGCTCATGAAGAAGAGTTTGATGATGAAACCTTTTAATGACAAGAAGCAAAAAAAATCAGACAGACAGACAGACAGACAAACAAACAAACAAACAAACAAACGAGTAAACGACAACCAATATATATCATCTTTCTTCTCTTTCCTTCTTTCAAATAATCTTTTTTTTTTCCCTATTTCTTTTTCTTTTCTTTCTAACCAATTAAAAGAAGAAAAAACCCACAAAACCAATACAAACCAAACAAAGAAGAAAAAATTCAAATACCTTTATATATTTAAATATATATATTATTCTGTGCACCATGCTTTAAAGAAGTCTATAATCAAAAAAAAAAAAAAAAAGAAGAAGAAGGAGAATAAAAGGGTTTAGGAAGTATAAAGAAGTTATCAGAAGATGTCTCCTGGTGATGCATTCGGGATGCTAAAAGCTACAATTAAAATCAAGCATTAAAATATAAAACCCAGACTCCGAAGCTGTAAAGAAAAAATTACTCTAACAAATGAAAACGGAAAATAAACCATGATAGCTTTTTTTTGGAAATTAACGTGCCGTTTAAATCTGTGTAAGGATTTGAAACTCTTATTAAGATGAACAAATCTTTGCCTAAAATACTATGTAATTTATTTAGATTTTTATTAGATTTATTTTTTTATTTTTTTGTTCTTTGTTCTTTGGTATCTACATTGATTATCATTATTATCGTTATTATCATTATTTCTTGCTCTTTTTCTCTTTCCCTCTTTATGTTGTTACTATATTTTTTTTTAAAAAAAAAAATTTAGAAAAATGATAATTAAATAATAACAATTCTCTTTTTCTCTCTTTTTTTTTTCTAATCGGAACTACTTCCAGAGTCATCCGAATCAGACCCTGATGAACTGTCCGAATCACTTTCGCTGGAAGATTCTTGACCTATAGAAGAAATACATACATATACACATATATACATTTTTTTTTTTAAAAAAAAAAGTACCAAGAAAAAAAAATACACATATATATATATACATAGATAGATAGATAGATAGATATCCCAAATTCACCCCCCAAAGAAAAACAAAAAAAATAAAAAATAAAGAGAGAGAAAAAAATTAGTTGCCTTACCATAAAAAGTGTCAGGTTTTGAACCAGTAAACTTTTGAAGGGTATTTTCAAGTTCTTTAATCTTACGGTCAGCATCTGCCTCTGAATAATGAGTTCTTGGTCTCTTGTTGTTGTTGCTACTGCTGCTGCTACTGCTGTTACTATTTGTGTTTGCATTTGTGGTACTATTGTTTTGGGAGTGCTGCTGTTGATGATGATGTTGATTGTTTTTACTGCTTGGATTATTATTATGACTATTGTTATTATTGTTATTATTATGACTGCTGTTGTTGTTATTAATGTTCGGCGCCGATTTTTTGTGAGAGCCCAATGATGGCGATGGCGATGACGATAGTAATGATGAAGGAGGTATAAGGCTTCTTCCAGTCACAAACTCGTGCAGCCGGTGCAGAGTCTTTCGATCAAGAGCATCAATGTCCAGCACAATTTCCTCTTGCCCTTGCTATATGCATTCATGTACAAGACAATGTATCAATAAACACCAACTCATACCCACTTATAGGAAATTGTTTTTTTTTCTTTCTCTTTTTCTTACCCCATCAAGATTAGGCATAGAACTCTGGATAATGTTTACAACCGTGTTAAGACGATCGCCTGTCAGATTGTTGATCCGTTCACTGAGATCCTTCTTTTGCTCAAATGTGAATTCGGGCAATTCTTCCTCTTTGGTCTTTAGTGACAGACGATGGCGTTTAGAAAACGGCTTCTTGTCTTTTGGACTCATCGGACGAGGTCTGACAGGCTTTTGTGGTCGCTCTGGTCGCTTCTTCTTTGACTTTATGGAAGCAATCTGTTGTGCGAGTGAGGCAATATGACGTTCCAATTCCGAGATTCTGTGGTCTCTCTCTACATAATTTATAAACATGATTCATAAACACACGGCGACAATAACAAAAGAGAAAAAAATCCCACTCGAATACCCTGTCCACACTAAATCCAATTCCAATGACAATGACAATGCCAATGCCAATGACAAAGTTTGTTGTTGTTCTTGTTGTTGTTGCTGCTGCTGTTGTTGCTGTTGTTGTTGTATAAAAGGTATATATGTATTTGTGTGTATTACCATCTTCATCTGATTCAACTGGTTCAAACTCTTCAAAGGTTTCTTGGACAGGCACAGGCTTCTGCTTCCACTTTTCATCAAATACCTTTTCTAGCTCCCTGCCCATTCGATGGACAGGTACGGCCGGGGGGTTGTAGAGGTAACAGTTTTTAAACATGAGGCGGATGTCGGCCTCAAATGCCTCGGGAGAATCATAGAATCCCTCGGCAAGCTTGGATTCAATTGTCGAGAGATCCATCGGGTTTTTGACAATCGAGGGGTAGTCCGGGATATTGAGGGCAACGATGTCTACCGGAGCAAGGAAAGGGAAATTGATATCTCGGTATTTTGATTTCTTTAATTCTCGCAGGGTCTGTGAGCAGAACTTTGTTTCCACATCATTCTTTCGAGGGTTCATCATCATTGTTCGCCGTTTGGTTATCGTTTCTGGGTAGTCTTTAGACGGCGGCGGGTGGATTTCTCGTTTGGGTCTACCGTCTTCTGATGCACGACGAGCAGCAGCGGCAGAAGCAGCAGCAACTGATGCAGAAGCAGAGTTGGAAACTGAATTTGAATTTTGATTTGAATTTGAATTTGAATGATTAGCATTAGAATTAGCGTTAGAGGTCGAGACAGGAGGAGAATGATAGCGAGGAGTAGACGGAAGAGGAAGAGGAGGAGAAGACGATGGTTGGATCTTTTTCTTGCGGTGAACTTTGTCTGACATTGAGTGTTGACGTGGAGGTGTTGGTGATGTCTACACATTAACATTCCCCAAAAGAAAAAGCAAAAAAAAAAAGTAGAGCAAAAGATTGCCAGAGTTGTTGATTAGCCATAAGAAGAGAAGGTCAGACCTCACTACCTCGCGTTTTGAAGGCGGCATTTGACGCAAACTCTTTTCAAACGCAGACTCGACATTCTGACACAACATTGAAATCATTGCTTCGGGACCATTGAACTTGTAGCAGTTTGAGAAGACGAGTCTGATGTCTGCAATCATGTCTTCCACATCGGTGTACTCTTGGCCGGATAACTTTCGGTCGACAGTATTGAGATCCATTGGGTGCTTGACGATTTTCGGGTAGTCTGGTACATTAAGACTGATATAGTCGACCGGATGAAGAAACGGAGCAGCGTCTCGATGCTTTTTTAAGTGTCTGATGATTGCTCCACAGTACTTTATTTGATCCTTTGTCATGTTTGTCTCTATAGCGATCTATATATACCGATATCGATTATTGATTGTTGTTGATTGTGTGATATTGATTTTGTAGGTAGGTAGGTAGGTCGGTCGGTCGGTTGGTCAGTTGGTTGGTTGGTTGGTTGGTTGGTTGATCAAGTCAAGTCAATTCAGTTAGTTTAATTATTAAGATCATGGTCATGATTGTGTTTTTCTTTACCTTTGAGAGATTAGTGGTGTTATTCTTGACATGTTCAAGTTTAGGTCGTTTCTTGAGGTTTGTGGGTTTCTCTTCTTGTTTCTCTTCTTCATCGTCGTCGTCATTCTTGACTTTTCTTCGTCTATTGATCGATTGGTTGATTGAATTGTTTTTGAATGAATAAATCATATAAAAATATATAAGTTACATGTATCAATATTTATTGGATTCCCAAAAATTAATAAGAATTTAGTGCCTTTTTTTAAAAAAAAAGAAAAAAGAAAAAGGTAATAGTAATAGCACTAATTTGCACACACAAAAGACGCGTGATAAAGAAGCGCGTCTTTGCGTGCGAGTGTATAAGTGTATAAGTGTGTGTGTGTGTGATTCTAAAAATAAAAGCATTACTCTTATTCCTTCCTTCCTTCCTTCCTTATTTCCATTTCCATTTTCATTTTTTTACTTGATGGTTCCTTGAGGTCGCTTTGAGATACACACACACACACTCACACTCAACAGACCCGCACACTATACACACTATGCGCAATGTATTTAAATACATATACATACCCAGCGTCTAATGAGAGTGGTGTTTCTGTGGCAGCTGGTGGATGGTCCATGCTGTAACCATTAGCCATAATGGAGGGAATGGTTTTTTTTTAAAAAATAATAATAAATAAATATATATATATATATATATATATAACTATACCAATATGTATATAATATATATATATATATATATATATGAAAGAGGGGGAAAAGATAGAGAGAGAGAGAGAGAGAAAGAAAGGAAGAAAGAGAAAGAGAGAAAATTGAAATTCCAGGGTTTTTAAAAAAATTATATATATATATTATTATTATTATTATTTTCCCTTGTTTTAAAATACAGAAAAAAGTAAGAAGAAAAGAAGATGATGCTGATGATGCTGATGAAAATAAAGAAAGGGCCAAACTTTCTTGCCTTTTGTTGAGTAGTAAAAAAAAAAGAAGAAGAACAAGAGATTACCAAGCAGCTGAAGAGTTTATATATTTTTCAATTGTAAAAAAAAGATAAAGAAGTACAAAAGGCGTGTGAAGAAAAGAAGAAGAAAAAGGCTTTTAATATCAGTTTTTGAATTGAATTGGTTAATGGCATGATTACAGAATTAAACAAAAAACAAAGATGCTCGTAATGCTGAGTGCAATTGAAAAGACTCAAGCCACAAAGCTTATTGCCATAAGTTTATCTACACACTTCTTTGTATCTTTTGGATACACAAGCAAGAGAGAGCAATACACACACACACACTTATTGATATGAAACTAAGTCTCTCTCTCTCTCTCTCTCTTTATTTTGCTCTTATTATTTTTGTTTGTGTGAGTGTATCAAGCATCGTATAGTGTAAGTGTGCGTACAGATCGTATTAAGCCAAGCAAATATTAACATATATAAAAAAAAAACTAAATTATCGGAAAAACTAAAGTGTACAATGAGCGATGACGTGGATTTGTGCAAGGTGCTAAAAAAAAATATCCTGTTGTTTGTTGTTGTTGTCCTTGTTGGCCACATTTCATTCGCTTTATACATTCTGCCACACTACGGACACACACATCATAATAAAAAATAAAAAAAGGGATCTATTATATAGATTTATATACTATAGTATAATTTATGTATAAATATCAATGTACATAAAATTTTAATTAATTATCCAATCAAATCAACCAGAATCAAATCTCAATTCTATAAATGGGAACCAGAGGACTCTCTTTTTTCTCTCTCTTACTATTTCTTATTTGTAGTCCGATCTAAATAAATTTTTTCTGAAAAAAAAAATTAATTATTTTTTTATATAAATATCCCTGTTAAAATTTCACTTGCTTATTTTTTTTTCTTTTATATATATATATGTATAATATCTATGTATTTAATATTTTCGATTCTCATGATCCAATTTTAGACATGAAAAGAAGTTGAATTGGTAAGTCTATTTAAAATCCCCAAGTAGTTATTGTTCGTATATATATATATATATATATATATATATTTTATATGATGTTTGTAATTTGCGTTTGACTCACGTTCTTACGCGCATCTTCGCCGGTGCATTATGCGGGGACGTGGAAATGAAACCACCTTTTTTCCTGATAAAATATATATATATATTTATATACTTTTTAAAAAAAAAAAAAAGTACAAAAAAAACTTACATTTCTTCCAAATGAAATTTGTAGACTTTTCATTTGATAAGTGAAATTTCCAATCGTGATATTTCTTTTTGTTAAATATTGATCAAGGTTGAATGTACATACATATATTGCCTTTTAGAATATCAAAAAAAATGGTAAGAAAAAAAGATTTTAAAAAAGATAATTTGGAAAAGAAATATATAAACACAAGTGTGGGCAATGATTAAAAAAATGCAGCTGAAGAGTTTTGATGTTTTAATTATTATTACCAAGATCACTGAGCAGACACTTGTGTTCAATATATATATTTCTTTTGTCTCAAATGATCTTCATTTATTACACAATTGTGAACATTGAAACTAAATATTATTTTTGTTTTGTTTCAATTTTCTTAGGTTATCATTTTTCTTGACGGGTGGCTTGGATTAGATGTTAGATGTTGTGTATAATTAATTAGTGTATATAAAATTAAAATTTGAAAATAAATAAAAATAAATTTTGCTTCCTCTTTTTCATATTCTTATGAATACAAATAAAAAGGGTTAATTGTGTGGGTGGAATGTGCGTGTGTAAAGATAGATAGATAACTTTACTTGAATAAAATGGCTGACTGAACTACTGACTGAGTACAGGTCTAAATTCTATTTCATAATTTTTTTTTATTAAGAAAATGAAAATGCGTAGAGAGGTTAGTAATTTTTTATTTATATTTATATTTCTATATAAAAAGTGGCATGTTTCTTATATTATGTTATATATATATATATTCATATGAGTGTATACACTGTAAATAACTGCTTATTTTACAACTCAAATAAAAAAAAGATACCACAAGGATTTTAAAGTTTGGGCCAAATATATACATCGACCCACGCCCATTCTTATTAATATACATATATAATATTTGCACGCATGTTATTGACATCTTTTGAAGATCTTTCTCTCTTATATATATAATTTTTTTTTTTACTTATCTATGGTTTTCATATTAAAAAAATAAATCAATAAATACAATGGTCTTTAACAATACATTCGATTCCGCAAACAAATAAAGAAAGAAAGAAAAATGATAGACAGAGAGTAAAACACAAGTTACACCAAACAACAATTAATAATAATAATATTTAAATATTTACTATTTTCAAACTTTCAAGTAACCATTCAGAGAAGCAAGCAATGAATCATATTGAATTTTAGACACTGCTATTATTGTTACTGTTATTGTTTTGCGATTTTTTTTTTAATTAAAAAAAAATCTTTCTTTAGTATTCACAAGTAGAAAAAACAAACAACAATAATAATAATAATAATAATTATAATTATATAATAAAAGAAAATTTGAACTGTAACGGTGTACTGTATATATATTATATAGAAAATATAAAAAAAAGGGGGGGAGACTAGGTGATACTGAACAAATGAGGAGCAAATATCAAAAAGATAAAGAGAGAGAGAGTGTGTGTGTGTGTGAATAGGATATAGAATAATAAAGGGAATCATACAAGCGAGAATAAATAAGTATCAATATAGTGAGGGCATGGAGAGCAGGAGAGATAAAAAAAAAAAGGAATAGAGAAAGAGTAGGAGGTGATAGAGAGGTGGAGGAGGAGAGTTCGATGATGATGATGACAATGGAGTAGTTGTGGTGGTTGGTTGGTGGTTGGTGGTGTTTGGTTTAGCTGAATGATTTACAGCTGTGTTTATACAGCGCCGTCTAAACAAAATAAAATCAAATCAAATAATGAAAAGAAGAAGAGGAGCAAGCCAAAAGAAAATAAAGAAATAAAAAGGGAATCAAAAAAGGAGTGTAGAAGTGGGTGCGTAATATAAAGTATGGTAAATCAGAGAGAATCAAATGATTGAATGAATAACGGTAAAGGTAAGAGTAAGAGTAAGAATAATAATAGTAAAAATAAGAATAAGAATAAGAATAAGAAAATCAAAATCATTAGCATGGTGTCGATGTCGATGTCGATGTTGGCGTTGATTTGGATTCTTTGGGTTGCTTCTTTTCTTGCATACGAATGGCCTGGCGTCTGTTCTGGAACCAGATCTGCACCGTCCTGGGACTCATACCCAGTTGCTGCCCCAGTTCATTCCGCACCTGAGTCGTAGGAAACGATGTTCGCTCAAACACGCGATTCAGGACCTCCAATTGCTTTGCATTGGCTCTCCGCCGTTTTGGTTTGAGGCATTCGTCAACAGAGTCAGGGTTGGTGGGGTCTTCGGGCTCTGAGAAGGAGTAAGAAGATGAGATTGACCGAGAACGAGGCCGGTGGCAGAGATCTTTGGTGAAGCTTTCGGATAATAGTCCTCGAGGCATCGACAGGGATGGCAATGGCAGCAGGTTGTTGTGGTGGATAGACGACGACTTTTGCTGGTGGGTTTGCTCCCATTCTTCTTCAGGCGAGTGGTGGGTGTAGTCAGACGGGCTGTAGTAGGACGAAATACTCGAGGGCGAGAAGGTGATCGATGGAGACAAAAGAGGGCTTTTTGTCGGAGGATCGAGAGGGCAGAGCAGGCTAGCAATGTCCAGAGCTGATGGTCGCCGACTGTGGGTCTGATGAGACGTTGGCTCGTGTCGATTGAGCATACTGTTGACTGAGAGCATGGTTGTTTTATTTTGGTTTTATTTTAAAATACAATAAAATAAAATATAATACAATAGAGTAGTAGATAATAGTAAACAGTAATTATAAAAAATAATAATAAAACGAGTTGCTGTTGCTGGTAGTATCTGTTGTCTTGGTAACGGTAACAATAACGGTGACGGTAGCAGGGACGGTAATAGGAATTGTTGTATTGGTGGTAGTGGTGGTTATTGTTTTTTTCTTAAAAAGAAAAGAAAAAGTAAATTGGTGTGGGTGTATGTTATAAATTGTAGTGCTTGTGGTGTAGTGTGTATTCCCGAGCTGTGATGACGGAAAGAAAGAAAGAGTAAAACGAAGCGGATCGAGACGAATAGGCCTGGTTTTCTTTCCTGCTTTCCTTAACAGACGAGTGTGCGATGAGGAAGAGGAAGAAGGATATCAAAAACGGTGTCTTTTTTTTTTAAGTGGTTTATTAAATGAATTTGCTAATATTTTTTTTAATCTATGATCTTTATCGCAATCACCCGTCATTGTGGAGTGATAGGGTTGCATGATTAATTTGCCACACCAAAAGTAGGAATGCCTTTATGTTTTTCCTTTTTATTAATATTATTAATTTTCTTTTTGGTGCCTTGGTAACTCTTTGGTAGTTGTGATTAACCTCGACCTGGTCCGAGATCAATTTATATACTCTTATTAATGATTTACGCCTACAAGAATTATATTATATTACATTGCATTGCCTTCTTTTTTTTACAATTTCTCTTTGATCTTACGTTACTCTTTATACGTACATTAATTCATTCATACACATGAATTAGTCTTCATCTTGTTATCAGTTTAATCTATTAATCTTACAGCCATTTTACTTTACTTTTTTTTAAAAAAAAATAATAAATAATAATAAATTAATCTATCAAATCACCTCATACAATTTCTACATAATTTATATGAATAAATACGTATTATAAGAATTATAATTTATACTTTTTTTTTCATTTCTTTCTCTCTCTCTCTATTCCTTCTTTAGGTCGCCGAAACAAAGCTAAAGACTTCAAGTGGGCCAATTCTGAGATCCTCGGTTCCCCGCCCTCTAGACATTTAACATCTGATTTTTACCTGTCTTTTTTTTTTTTTTTTTTTTTTTTTGCTTTGCGCACTAACCTCATTGTTCACACAAATATAATATAATATACATAATTTTTATAGATTGTATATATATAAATATAAAGGTATATCAAAAGTGATGGTATTATTAATAATTATAGTACTAGTAATATTATTAGTAGTAGTAGCAGTAGTAGTAGTAGTATTGGAAATAAAATATATTAATAAAGGACCACCACCAATACTAACTGTCGCTACAACCACCTTGTCCCTTCACACAGCAGATCCCTTTTTGTGTGACAAGGTCCATTGGACCGAACCCCAACCTTTTTTATTATATTTTTATATTTTATTTTATTTATTTGATATTTATATCAAATACTTTAATATGTGTTGTTGATGTTGTTGCTGATGGTAAAGTATTATGTGCTTATATTATTAGTGCGGCAAACTTACCAAGAAAAGCTATTTATTTGAGAGTATTAAAAGTAAAATGGCAATAGAAACTAAAAGGACAGGGTTCTTACACACGGTTGTCTGATTGGATAAATTAAAAGGAAATATCTGTGTCTCAACAACTTCGCAGAATATAATATTTTCACCGTTATTAATTTTTTTATATATATATTTTCATTTAGAAAATAACAATAATAATACAATAATCTTTTTTTTTTCTTTTATTAATATTATTGATAAATAGTCTCCTTTTTCTGACTAAAAGTTACGTATAAAATACTCAATAATTTATGCATTGATATGTGTACATGTACATGTGCGCGCGAACGAGCGAGCGAGCGTGTGTTTGTCTTGATGCCTCTGTAAAATAACGACAAAAAAATCAAAAAAAAAAGTGCTATATTTTTATAGGTGACATCAAAATTAAAGAATAAAAAATAACTCTCTGTTTCAAATTTGTATATATATAGAGGATAAGCAATATGGTTGCCACGATACAACACACGACAACCGGTTATTAAAGTTTTCTTTATTTTTATTATTCTTGAAAGAATCTCTAGAGTACAATTGCCCTTTTTTTATTTCTTTATTTGGTGGTGGTTAGTAGTAAAGGAGTATAATTGGCCAAAAGCTAAAATAATAATAAGTATTTATTATTACTATCATTATTATCTTTGCGTTAATCTTCACGACTGATCATACCTTTTATACACACAGACACAGACACAGATACACACACACACACGTATATATATATATATATTCGATTAACAGATGTGTGTTACGTCCCATTTTTTCTTTCTCCTTTTTTTTGATATTATTAATTCATGGTCTTTTTTTTTTAATATTTATTTATTATTATTATTCTGTGCTTGAAATACATGACACTTTCTTATATACACGCACGCACGCATTTATGTATACACATATTCATTTTATTAACCATAGCAACGGTTGTCACAACAATAGAAAATAAAATTAAAAGGTCACATACATTTTTTTTTTGCTTTTTTTTCTGTTTCCATAGTAATATTTAGCATGTTTTCCATGACAACCACAAGCTTAAATTCATTTTAGATTTTTCTTTTTTTTTAAAAAAAAAAAAGTATAGAAAATATTATCAAGTCACCTCTTTATTTTTCATTTAATTATTCATTTATTCACTTTGAAATAAATAGAGAAAGAAAAATCAGAGTAAGAAAAAAAAAACATCTTGTTCTTTTTTTTTATAACAAAAGAAAAAGGAAAATGTTCAACAGGTGCATGTTTGTAGATGTTTGTAGATGTGTGTTCAAAATCATAAAGTTTTTTTTTTTAGTTTGAATTGACTTGGCTTGGTTGGTTTGTTAAGAAATCTGATGACTTGGGCTTGTGTACTGTAGCAACTGTACGCATAATTACAAGGTCAAGTCTTGATTTGTGTGTAGTGGAGATTCACCATTATAGGCTACATTGTGCGGGATTCCACCTCTGGCTGTTTGTGTACCTTTCTCTCCCTCTACACACACACAGAGAGAGAGAGAAATACACAGTCCATATTTCTCTCCTTTCCCTCTCTCTCTCTCTCTTGCTCTTTAAAGATAACAGTCCTTTGTTGATTCCATTCAAACATACCTTGATTTCCAAAATATCCTTATTTTCTTACTCTAATTATTTTGAAACTTTATTACAACATGATATATCCAATAGATATATATTTATTTGGTACGCTTCTTTAACAAGAAGAACAAAAACCACAATAATATTTTGTACATCTTTCTTTGGTTGGTTGGCTGTCTCTTTCTTTCTTTGCCCTGGAATTTTTAGTTTCTCTCACTCATTCTCTTTTTTATGATGTTTTTTTTCTTTCTTTTGTCAAGATTACAAAAGCCAATAAATTTCATTGGTGACCCAAGAGCTTGGTTTGATGGTCTTAAAGTCTAAATTGTAACAATAATATATATTATTATTATCTTTCTCTCTTTTTTTCCTTACACACCATTGTACAATATAAAGATTATCCGATTGATAATTAAGAGAGAAAATTAAACAAGAAACTCTATTTCCTTTCTCATTATGACAAGCCATGACTGTTACTGTTACCGTTACTGTTACTAATTGAACCCAATGACAAAAACAACATGAATTGCAAAACCGGGCGTTTTTATTTTGATTTTATTTATAATTATAATAATACCAAGTACAAGTACAAGTATAGGTGCAAGAACAAGGATAAGGACAAAGGACAAGGACATCAAACACCAATAATATAGTAGAGTATAATATATCTGACATTTTTTTCCCATACAAAAAAAAAGTGATTTAAATTACCCGTAGATTGCCTTTCTTAATCTTTCTTTTATTTTTCGTTCTTTAAACTCACGCCATTTATTCAATATGAAATAACCCAAAAAAAACGCTCCCACAAGAAAGATAAATCATCCCTTGTGGATCAATAGAGGGTCACAAATAACGTGTCCTCACTATCACACGCCCATCTCCTTGAAACCTTGATCGTATCTCTCTCTCTCTCTACTCTTTCTCTTACTATATATTTCCACCAATAGACAAGCTCGTCCTTTACTAGACATAATTAGATCAATCAATCAATCAATCAATTATTTTTTTAATAAAAAACACACACACATATATATATATATTCTTTCTTTCTTTTTTCTTATTATTTAATATATTTATATATGTTTATATATGAATAGATAGATATATGAATAAATATATATCATTGTCTATTCCCTTTGTAAATATCTTTCTTCTTCTTCTTCATATCTCTACAGAAAATGTACAAAAAGAAAGAGGGAACGGACGGTTGCAATCAAATTATGCTCAATCTTCGTAGCCAGCAGGGGGGTTGCGTGCACGGTTAGGAACTATATATGTATATAGTTATGTGTTGATGTCGTAGGTGCGTGTATGCAGATATATAAATGCATGTGTTGTAGCAGGATTTCATAACGGTTTCGTAAAATTTTCGTAAAAGTTTCGTAAAATTTCGTATGCGTATTTATGTGTGTACGTGTGCGTAGATAATATATAAAATTGACAAGTTATTTAATATCAGTTTCTTGACTCTCCAATTGCCTAGAAAATTAACTATTTTTTCTTTCTTTCTTTCTTTATTCTCCCTCCATATACTTATTGTCTACTCATTCATTCATTTTACTCGTCTATTATGTGTATATACACATAAGAAATCAATGAATTTTAAACGTACGGGGGTATGTGATTGGAAGACGCTCAACACCCTTGAAGCCAAAGTATTCACGGCGGATGGTAGGCACAGTCCAAACCATCAATGGGCCTATAAAACATTCAACAATCGCGTCAGTTGGTCGTTATCATTCCCTTCTTATTTCTTATTTTTGTAAATTACATTAGCTTTTACACATTAACAGACCACAAATTATGTGAATGAATTGCATTTACAAATCGTGCGTAAATTTTAATTATAAAATAATTTTATTTTATTTTTCTCTACAAATTTTTATTTTTATATCTAAAAAAAAACGCACCAGCAGAGCCAATGACGAATGACCAGAAGATGACAGGTCTCTCGAGAGCGAAACGGTGAACAGATCCCAACATAATGTAATAAAGGTTAAAGAAGTTCCCAAAAAAAATTAGAAAATTAGAGGTTTGTTGCAGTCGCGCCAATAAAAATAAAATAAAAAAATAATGACTTGTTTTGTCCTTTTTGGTGAGGGAGGGGGGGGGGGGGTGGAGGTAATTAAATTGTTTTTTCTCTCTCTCTCTATTGCATTCTGAGTTTATAAAATTTATATACATAAAAAAAAATTGAAAATATGGTCGGACAATTAATTATTTTGCTTAAATTTTATTGCTGACGTCGTCCCTGAACCGATTTGATGGAATCGAAAGCAGATTCACTACTGTTTAATTTATTTTTATATATATATATATTTTTAAAAAAATCTAATATATAAAAGAAACACACATTTATATATATATATATATATACATATACACATCTCATCTTACTACAATTATCAAAGTAAAATAAAAATAAAACATGTCAATTGTAACAGTTATTGTCAGCACATCTGAGAATATCGAATCCGAAAGACGATTTGACAAGGGTTTGACACTTCTTGACCTCAAGGTTAGATTCTATATCAAATATTTTTTTATACATCATCCTATATTTTCAGGACAAAGAGAGAAAGGACATGCTTCTTTTAAAAATGTACATGCATTACATACATCTAAACATCATTATCTATAATACGATAGTGCAAACTTGAACCAATCACCGGAATTCCCGCTGGTACCCAGAAAATCGAGCTCTTTAGAGGAAACAACCTCATCGGACCACTTGATGATGATGATCGCATGCTGGGCTCATATCCCGTTGAAAATTACATGCGCCTTCACGTAAGTTTTTCTTATACCCTGTAATAAGGAAATGGTCCAAATAAAATAAAATAAAATTAATTTACATTATATATTATATTACATAACATTGATTTTATCAATCAATGCAACCATGATATTTAAACAATTGTTTTTGTGTACTTATACATAAATGTATATATATATATTAATTGAATTAGATTACGGATTTGAATCCTCATCGTGTCAAGAACCAATTTACAGACGTTTCACTAGTAGAAAAATTTGAATTGACCGAGGAAGAATATGCAAATCGTAACGGTAAATGTCAATACCAAGAGTACATTGTCACCCATATATATATATATATATATATATTATTTTCATTTATTTATGCATATGCGTATATATGCTTTTATTAGATAGTGTGCGTGCCTTTAAGGAACGTAATAAACTAGGTCGCTTCTCTAAAGAGGCATTGGAAGATATGGCAGAGCTTGAACGCCAAAATAATGAAGCAGCCATGAAAATCAAGGTCGGAGAAAGATGTGAGATCCAGATGGGTGAAGATTCCACCATCAAAAGAAGAGGCTGGGTTCGTTTCCTCGGTAAGAACCATAATTAGAATAAGAATAAAAAGTATATGCGTGTGTTTGTATAATATAATAATCTTTTTATATGTATATATATATGTATATAAAAGGCACAACTGAATTTCAGCCTGGATTGTGGGTAGGTGTTCAGTATGACGAACCTCTCGGAAAAAACGATGGTAGTGTTCAGGGCGAACGCTACTTCCTTTGTCCACCAAAGTGTGGAGGTTTTGTTAGACCGAACAAGGTGGTTACAGGTGATTTTCCCGAGGAGGATATCTTAATGTCAGAAGAAGAAGATGATGATTTGGAAGAGATGTAGATAAAAACCAAAATTACAATAATTTTGGGCCCTTTTTTTTTTCTTTTTCTTTCTCTACAATTGTATATCCTGTAACAATTACTCAATCTAATCTAATCGAATCAATCAAGTAATTATATTAAGAATAAAAGATTATACCACTTCAAACGATCAAGGAAATAATCAAGATACTTACTTGCTTACCTTATTCATTTGGACTAATAAAAAGCATAATATAAAGAACAAAGATATAAAATATATTGCCGTGGGCACAAAAATTATGCACTTGTGGCAAAATGCGCAGTCACAACAGTCCGCGTTCCTCTCTTTGATTCAAAAACTTTTATTTTATTTTTATTTCATTTTTTTTTACATGTACTTAATAAGTTTCTTGTACAAATGCAGTCTTTAGAAACCACTGTAAGTTTTTGATAGACAATAATGAGCAATTGACAATTTTATTAGTACTTTAGAAGATATATATGAGTATATACATACACACTTTGTGCTTATTTGTATATGTGTATGTATATATGTGTACATTTGCATATGTCTCTGTTTCTAAATTTGAAACAACCTTTTATTTTCCATTAGACCGATCGCATGGACTCACCTCCCAAAGACACTCCTCACATTGATGAAGCCGGCAATTTAGACTCTGAGAAACTCCCTGCCGAAATTCCTACTAAGCAACCGTAAGACTTTGAACCGAGATAATTAAACATGACAGTAGTAAACTCACCAACTGGTTTCGAATGACTTGGCAGATTAGGCAAATTTGATCAGAGTAGATTAACGTAAGAATTATTGTCGTTATTGCTATTATTATTTGAAGATAAAATGATGATGATGAAAAAGAAGAGTAGATTGATAACCTGATAAGATTTTAATCATATATATATATATATATATATATTACTTTTATCAGTAAACCTCGAGGAGATAAAAAATCACACAGCAGCGATGTCGAAGCAGGCGAAGAAGAAAATAACGAAGAAGAAGAAGAAGAAGAATTGGACGAGTTTGGAAGAGTAAAGCGTCGTAGACATAAATTTACATCAGAACGTAAAGACACCGAAGATGGCGAATACGATGGAGAAGAAGACGACCGAAGACACACTAGAGGAGATTACGGACATGATTCTGGCAGTGATGGTGAAGGCCGCCCCAGACGTTACCAATCAAGCCATCATAGCCACCATAGTCAACAGCAACAACAGCACCATCAACAACAGCACCACAGCCACCACCGCAGACGACGATCTTCATCACCACGACGTAGATATACTCCAAGATCCAGACACTCGGATTCTGAGGATGAAAAGGATCATGACCGTTCAAGACGAAGACGAAGATCGAGCCATGGTTACAGAGGACACAGCCCAGATGCAAGAGATGTAAATATTTATAAATATATATATTTTCTATTATTATTATTATTATTACTTTCTCTTTATATTATCTTCTTTATGTGGTATATAGATAATATAAATGTAGTTTAGTATAGTGTATGGGTGTATATTAAAAATGTTCTTCTTTTTCTATAATTACTACTACTACTACTATTCTTATTCTTATTTGTGTTCTTTCTTGTGTTTTGTATTTAATATTAATAGCCCTATGCTGCTGCTGCACGTTATATTGATACTGAATTCTTTCCCACAAAGATTTATGTGGGTGATCTTGAACGGGTTTCCAGAGATGAACTTGAACAGGCATTTTCACGGTTTGGACCTATTCGACAAGTCAGAATGGTTGATGGCAAAGAGTGAGTAATTTATATGCTATGAGTGCAAAATTGAGTATCTTGTTTCTTGTTTAATTAACCACCAACCAATTATGTTTCTTTTTGTACCTCTTTCTCTCTATGTGTGCGTGCGTGGATTTGGCTGTTGTTGTTTTTCATATTATTGATACTTTTAGATATGGATTTATTACTTACGAGGACAAGCCAAGTGCACTTGCTGCTATTCAGAGTATGCATGGTGCATTGTTGGGTACACGTCGCATTAAAGGTGAGTTAAGACTGATTTTGTATAGCAAAGGTAATTGAAATCCATTCTTATTAACAATTAAACTTAGTCAATCGTGCAAAGATACCAGAGAGAAACAGAGTTGGATTTGGAAATGTACCTTGGACAGATGAAGGTAATTTTAATGAATTAATGAATTATATGTATATCTATAATTTTTAGGTTTTCTTTTCTGTTTACATTATTGCACCATTTCATTAATGAATGAATGAACATTTTCTTACTTATTTATTTGCAGACGGTGCATTAGCAAAGGAAGAAATGCAGAGCTACTCTGCAAGTAGGGATATTTCACCCATTACAAAGCCTGGTAAGAATTAGAAATAGAAACGCTTTATTAGGCTTTTATTCTCCTTTACTAATTACATTGGTCATTTCACACTAAATCAATAAAGATCCCCGGGATATTTGTCCTGTACCTGGAAGAAGAGCCTTGACAACCTATGACGATCTATAAAAGCCACATCAATTAACCAACACAACCAAAACCAACAAACCAACCACACCAAATTTTACAAAGCAAGAAAAGAAAAAACACACCTACAAAAAGAAAAAGAACCAAAACAAGAAAACAGCAACGCAACGCAACGCAACGCAAGGCAACAACGAAATAATAATAGTAATAATAAGTACTCGGCGGATTGTAGAGCGCAAATATTGTTTTTTTTTGCTTTTCTTGTTTTCATCTGTACAAAAGAATAATCATGTTAGAAAGGCATCCAAAAAACCCATTTTTTTTTATATCTTTTTTCTTTTCTAACAAACGAAGATGATAAAGAAGAAAATAAAGGGGAAAATCATATATAAAATACATGCAACTATTGAAAGAAAGTGATATACACATATTATATTATTTTTTATAAACATAAAACCAAAACCAAAACCAAAACCAAAAACAAGACTTTACATTGCATTGCATTTACATTGAAATTGTAATATTACTAATAAACTCATATCTAATATATATATATATATATATATATATATACACTATATATACATTTTTCTCTATGAATCTGTCTCTATTTGCTAGTGTCTTTTGAATTAAATTATTATATTTTATATATTAAAAAAAGGGGGGCGGAGGATAAAGGTGTGTGACGTAGCTGACGTCTTTTCACATACAGCGAAAAATCTTCGTAAGTCCCAAAGAAGGACTTGTACAGTTGAGTCAATCCAGTTATTACAACAACTGCATCATGTAGGTTTATTTCTTATATATATATATTTATATATATTTATATACATGTACACGTCAATGCACACGCACATATTTTATTTTTATTACTACTATTATTTTTAAAAAGAGTGTTATAAAAAGAAGTGTTTGATTAACACAAGAAAAAGAAAAAGAAAAGAAATTGACATATAAAAAGAGAAAAGAGTAGTAAAGCTTTAAGTGTACCTCAAGTATATATCTATAGATAAAGAAAGTAAAGTAAATTTGATTTTTAATTACGCGAAAGTAACAATGTAAACACAAACAGGGCAATCTCCAGATCTCGTTCGTCTAGATCGCCTTCTCCTGCCCGTCGTCGTCGTTCGCCTGCGTATAGCCGCTCGCCTAGCCGCTCACGCTCACCCTCACGCTCACCCTCACGTTCACGCTCACGTTCGCCTAGACGACGAAGCTATTCGCGTTCTTCCCGCGCAGGCAGAGACCGTTCTTTGTCGCCAGTTCGCGCTCGTTCTCGCAGCCCAGTAGCTGCAGCAAAAGGCAATGGTGTGCTTGTCATGAACTTGACGCGCAATGTTACATCTGAGCATGTGAGAGAGATCTTCTCTCAATATGGCACAATTGTCGAGCTCGAATTTCCTTTCAACAAGCGATGTAAGACAATTAATGATTTAGCGATTAAAATCACAATTAGTATTTTATTATTAATTATATCATTTTTACAAAATAAGATATATTCTAACAAATTTCTTGCTCATTCCAAATATATGTGTCCATTTGTACATAATATTCTCTATATATTAGTGAATGCCAACAGTGGTAAAGCATATGTGTACTTTGAAACTGATGAGGAAGCAAAAAAGGCCATTAGCCACATGGATGGAGTAAGCTCTCAAATAATTATAATGATTATAGTAAAGGGTGAAAGTTGTAAAAAGGCTGACAATATATATATATATATATATATATTCTTCTATTTTTTTTTCTTTGCTTTGATTTGCTTTGGCATTATTAGGGACAATTGGACGGTAAACATTTAACATGCGAGGTTGCTCCTGTCCGCTTGCCTTCTCCACCTCCAGCTCCACGACGCAGAGCAGCATCTCCTGTCAATCGTAGAGGTTAGACTAGAAAAAACAAACAAACGTGATTGTGTATATATTTCTGTGTGGATCTGTGTGTGTGTGTGTGTGTGTGTGTGTAGTGAATATATATATATATATATATATAATTAGATACTTAAACCTATTAATGGAAAAAAAGGAAGATGAAAAGGATGTTCTTATGATTATATGGAAAACCATATCAAATAATAATAATAATAATAATAATTCTTTTGCTAGGTCGTTATTCATCACCACCTCCTAGACGTCGCGGAGGAGCTCCTCGTGTAGATAGTTACATTGGTAGTGGAAGAAGATTTTCTCGCAGCAGATCTCGCAGCCGATCTCCTGTTCGTCGCGGAAGACGCTATTCTTATTCTCGTAGCAGATCTCCCAGAAGCTACTCACGAAGCAGGAGTTATTCGGGTAGCAGAAGCAGAAGCTATGATAGTTACTCTAGTGGAAGAAGCGACAGTCCTAGACGAGGACGCGGTAGAAGCATGAGCAGATCTCCTTCTAGAAGTAAAAGCAGAGACCGAGGAAGAGGAAGACGTTGAAATTGATTGAGAAAAAAAAATACTATTACTATCATTATTACTATTGTTTTCTTTTTCTTTCTTTTTTCTTTATATATTTTCTTTTCTCCATTTACTCATTTTTCCCTATTCATTCTTTTCACTCATTTATTCACTCATTTGCTTCACTTCATTATTAATTTGTGTGCTTGTGCTTGTGCTTGTTTGTAAATGATGTTAGAATGTTGTCCTGTTTTCGACTTCTACTTTCTTCCTATTTTCTTTCCTGTTTCTTGCTCAATTTTATTTTCTTACCCACCTTTTTACTTAATAAGGGAAAAAATAATTCACCCTTGTTGTAACAATTTGTCTCTTTATATTTCTTTGTCAGTTTTATATCTGTTACTTTATCTTTCTTTCTCCACTCTTTCGCTCCTTCACTCCCTCCTCCCTTATTTCCTATTCACTTTTTCTTTACATTTCAACAACAACATCACCAGCAAAAAAAAAAACTAAAAGAATGAAAGAATGAAAGAATGAAAGAAAAGAAAATAAAAAATAAAAAATAAAGAATAGGAAAGCAAGAAAACAAATATATACTTATATTTACAAAAAGTAAATTTTGATAGATTGAGCAATATAACTGTGTTAAAAATGCATATATATATATATGTATATATATATAAAATTCTTCTTTCTATATATTTTAAGCCAAGTATGTTGAAAGGCGTTCGACTACATGAGACATGGAAGGTCTCTAAAAGAAGACAATAGAAAATAATGATATTAATAAAGAAAGAAGGAAGGAAAACCAAGCTGATGTGATAGTACTGTATATAAAATAAATGTAAGATATTTACCACACTAGGATTTCCTTCCCACATTTCTGTCACTAAGATCAATAGATTTCGAGGATAGACAGATACGAGTCTAGAAACTGGTGGCCGTTTGTCGTATTGTTTAACCTGGACATATAGTGCATGTTCAGACATGTCTATGAAAAGTATATAGATATATTAGATTTTAATAATCATAAAAAATAATAATAGCTCGCCTTGATATGGGTATCCATGAGCTCCCCATGTAAGAATCTCCCAGAATATCAGTCCGCATGCATAAACCTATAATTCAACAAAACAAGAGAAAATGAATAAGCCCTGTTCTGTGGATATTATATATATATATATAACTGTATACTTGCGTCAACCTAATATAAAATATGGGCATTTATTGAGTTTATTGTACAAAAGTACCAATCTACACACGACTTACTTTTTCTGTATAACTAGGCTTTATACTCCAAAACTCTGGTGCTAATTTATCAAGAAAAATAATATAATATAAATAAAATCTGGTTTAAAGACCTTTTTTTTTTTTAAAAAAAAAGCATGTAATGTACCTTGCCTAGAATGAGTTTTTATGAGTATATGCCCGCACACACACAAACAGATATATATATATATATGTAAAAGCAAGAAAATAATATTGATTGATTGGCGTCTACATTTTTTCTTTAAATCTTACCAGTTTGGAGTACCACACTGAGTATGCATAACTGCTCCAGCTTTTGGACGAATACGAGCCAAACCAAAGTCATTAACTTTTGCCCTGTCATCTTTTGAGATCTAATTTGGATAATAAACACACACGCTTATATGTATCAATATCTGCTTTTATAAAAGTTGCTGGATTGTTGGTTACTCACCAATATGTTCATTGATTTTAAATCCTAAATCAAAAGAACAAACCATGTATTTAATAATTAATATTACTAGTAGTAGTGGTGATGGTAACAGTATTTATGTATATTATGCAACTGTGCTCCCTTACTCTGTGAATTATGGATGGTCTACAGATAAATAATAAAAGTATTAAAGAAAAAAAAACGAAATTTAAACAGACGCATATATATATCGGTAATTTACCTTCTTGTATGTAAATATGAAACCCCAAGTGCAATATCATACATGTACATTACCTTGTAATGGTAAATGTATCAGCTTTAGTACTGTTGTTGCTGTTGCTGTTTTTTTTTGTCTTTATGTTGATCTATGCTTTCTTTTTTCTCTATTGGTTTGTCTGTAGCTTACTTGCTGGGCAAAACTAGGTTTCTTGTATTTTCTAATGACATCAAATAGATCACCCTTTTCACATATTTCGGTTATAATAGACAAGTGGCGTGGATTTGTACAGACTCCAATAAACTTGATTACATTTTCATGCCGAAGTTGTCTGTGATAATAAGAAATTGAATACATAAATACTTATATATATATCTCTTGTTAAATTTGAGAATAGAATCTTACTTGAGTACATTGACTTCGTGTTTGACTTCAGCCAAGTCCATTGCACTAAAATGTGCCAATCTTAATTCACCAATAGCAACATCTTCCTATTTTACGTATACATATCATTTTTTGTTATTTAGCCTTTTTTCTAACATGTAATTATCGCATTGAATTTCTTTCTTTCTTTACCCCTTTATAGACGCCTATTAAAATTAGTATTATTGAATAAACGGATTATTGTAAGCATACTGTCAATTTAAATATTCTTCTTCCTTTCTTATATATATATATGTATCATTTTACCTTTGAAACAATCCTTGAACCCCCCACTACCCAACTTGTCTCCTATAGTGAGATCCTTGTATGCTATATCGAACCCGGGTGCGCTGTCATCCAAAAACAATGCTGTAAATTCTCGTGAGTTGAGTTCTAGTCGTTCCTCTTGAACCGTCTGAGGTAAGCTTTCTGGTAGGACTGAGCATATTAATTTTGGTGTTGAAGGAGCTGGAATAGGGCTTGTGTTTTGCTTCTACATAAAACAGTATGTATGTATATATTTATTATTATTTGAAATGATTTTACTAAAGAAAATATGCAAATTCATGTTATTTGAACCAAAAAAAAACTCTTACCCAGAACATTATGTTACTAATCAATTCTGATTTAGTTCCTTCTGTAGGTAGACCTATTCTCATTGATATTATTATTGCTACGCTTTTAAGGATATGATATAGAAAGGCTATTAATGTAGGTTATAAGCACCTCTCTCTTGACAGAACTCAATAACTTCTGCCAATAACATCTTATTGAGATCACCCTGGCTCAGAGACTATGTTATTGATAATAATAAAGCACAATACACGTTTTACTTGATGTAAGTTTTTACGCATACAATAGAAATAAGTATTATCATTATTATTTTACAAACTTCAAGAGAATCATCGACATGTCTATTGATTGTTTGAAAAACCATGGTTGTCCGTATCAATTTTCTTTTGGTTGATTAAATGATATATTTGCTCTTCTTCTTCTTAGTATTACTATGTGGAATGATTTTTTAAAAAATAAAAAACACCTTCTCAAAAAGGATACGAACAGAGAGAAAAGGTAAAACAATAAAAAAAATAAAAAAAGCAATTTGATTTGATTTGATTCACAACAGATTTCCTATATTGATAGATCCAACCAAAGAGTCAAGGGATATAATCACATGAGATGTACAAATGCCACTCATCCTGCGTTGCTATACGTCCCATGCTCTCTTCCCAAATAATAACAGGCATAACAATCGTAATAGAAATCTTTGTTCAAAAGGAGAGAGAAAAAAAATAGTATTTCTCTCTCTTTATGTATTCTTTTTTATGGCTGTTATTTAGCACAATTTCTTGTGACATTTTATTAGATAAAATAGTGAAATAAAGCGCCACTTATCACAGGTTTAGTTTGTGTACAAAAAAAAACATACAAAATGTAACCAGTTATTTTGATCAGCCTTTCTCTCATATATATATATATACTTAACACCTAATTGTTCTATTCTTTCATTTATCGCTGTGTGTATGTGTAATTTCCCGAATATAACTACATAAATAACCATAAAAGAATCGTTGTTTTTCACAATCCTTCTTTTGTGGGTGGGTCGATGTCATATTCATTCCAAAGTAACAAGCATATACCAATTGTCCATTCCACAGGCACATGAGTCTGCTCATCTATTAAAGGAAACCCACAAAATAGTAATAAAGAAAAGAAGAAGGATAAAGAGAACAAATTGCAAGGTACTAGAATTATCATGATTACTAAGAATTTGCCTTACTTGTTGAATAGTCGTCATATTTTCTTCCTTTCTTCTTCTCTTCTTCTTTCAATCCACTGACACAAATGACGCACTACAGCATAAGTGAGCAACATGAACTCTAACTTGACTTGATTTGACTTGTTGTTTTTGCCACATGTTCTCAATATACTTAACCACCGGGTATTATAAGCACTAGTATACATGTACGAGTAAATCATAAAGTAATACACATGTAGAGATATGTAGATATAAAGACCCCATGGCAATAAATCAATAAATTTGTATTTGTATATATATACAACCTATTATTATTATTATAAAATCAAAGTGCATTTTCTTTCTGGATTATATCCGTTTGCGGTTTGCTTTCTCTCTAGCATTTGGCTTAACTAACAAAGCTTTTTAATACAGAAGCCCCCGCACACGCAAGCACAATATCAACCGACTAACTAACCAACAATGTACAACCTCAGAACCTAAAGTTTATTTCTTTCCACAGTTTCTTTATGCAATGCTGCAAAGACATTTGTTCTTAAATGCATCATATAGTTGCCAATGTTCAATAAGGATTCAGATATTATAATTCGTTTATTTATTCTATTTTGAAATAAAGTAACAAGATTCAACTTCTTTCTTTTGTTTAATTGAGTCCAATGTGATCACATGTCTTTAATCTAAATTAAAATCAAACAAAGTACTTAAGCTGTGTATATATTTATATATTATTTTCAGAGTAATCATTACGTTGTTTTTGCATCTCATTCCAAGAGATCATCTTATGCACTGCAAAACATAATTGTACATAAAGTTTCCCCCCTCCCTTCCCCATCTTTTTAGTTTATTCTAATTGAAAATGATGTCAATGACTAATGTCTCGATTGAAAGATTCACTTGAGTAAATGAATAGCTTGCCTCCTTTGATCTCATTGCATATATAAATATATAAATATATTTATTTACTATGTGTAGTGTGTAATTTGTAGGACTAGTTTTAATGGTTGCCTTGTCAAAAATGCTACAAGGTTTTTACCCCAGCCTTGATGAATAAACCCAATTTTCAAACAAACAAAAACAAAAGCATGATTACCACATAACTTTCTCCTCCTTCTTTCCTTCCTTTCTTTCTTTTATACTTTATTATTTTGAATTTGAATTTGAATTTGATTTTTTCTTAAGATGATGATGGGTGCATTTCAATAATATACCTCAAGCTATCAAATATGATGGACCTTTTGACTCTTTTTTCTTTCTTTTATTCAATAACCAGCTCTTCATTAAATGTATATATCTATAATATTAGAAAAGAAAGAAGAAAACCCAAAGCCAAAACCAAAGCTAAAGTTAAAGCCAAAACTAAAACTAAGACTTGAAAAAAAATACCCCCAAAAACCCAAAACCCAAAACCCAAAAAATAAAGAACGGTTATGAGGAGAAGAAGAACTAGTGATTTATTCTTTGCTTAATGAGTCTAAACTAACACCAACTCCTTACAAGATATATACTTGTAATATAAGTAAATTTGTATTGTAGCGTAATGTCGCATAATTGTTCTATTTGCTTTTTTGTTTGCTTATCTGTTTGTTTGTTTGTTTTTTCTAGTCAATAAAATTCCTAGGCATTAATTCTTTCTCTCCGATGTAATACTTGTAGTATTAAAATTAGGGTTATTTACAGTAGTTTGGATCAAGTTATGTATGCATGTATTATTGAGAAGTAATGTCATGGCTGACTGATATAATAAAGCTAGGGTTATTCAAGTACTATTGTGGTGATACACCACGCATATACTAATAGCCAAGTAACGAAGTACACAACTATGATATAGTTACCCTGGAAGAGGCTTGTCATAGATTATATTTCATAGTCACATTGATACCCTATTTTATATTTAATCGACAAATAATCCAGTTTGGCAGATCTTTGGTTAACTTTTATTTAATGAAATAACAAGTAAAATTGACTCTCGTATTTTTGCATTTATTTTTACCATAACTATATAATTCAAATAGCCTATTTTTTCCTCTTTTCTTTATTCCTCTTCTTCATCTTGTTTGTTCTGTTGACCAAACCAAATCCCCTCAAACAAACACCTTATGCTTTCTCACACCCCCAAGCCAAAACATTTCATTTCTACTGCAGATTTTTCTGCTGAAGAACTCCTTGAATTTGTCAATCGTGCTATTCAGCTTAAGGTGGAAGCCAAATACAATCATCCACATGCGCGAACAGACCGTCCCTTGACCGGAAATACGCTTGCACTCTTGTTCTCAAAGAGATCAACTCGTACCCGCGTAGCAACAGAGACAGCCATGGCATACCTAGGTAATAATGATTTTATTCTTCTTCTTATTATTATTATGTGTCTATATTCCATTTATTGCCGTCCGTATAATTAAATTCGTTATATATCTGTTTCTCTTTCTTTCTTCTGTATATATATATATATATATATATTAGGTGGGCATGCCATGTTTCTTGGAGGCCAGGATATCCAGCTGGGTGTCAATGAATCTCTTTTGGATACATCTCGGGTTATTAGCTCTATGGTCAATGGAATCATGGCCCGTGTCAATGGACACGAAGAAATTGAGGTACACTAGTTGTACATACGTAAACATTGTAACAAGCACTCATCAAATTCATGTCACAGCTTTTAGCAAAAGAGTCTACTGTTCCGGTCATCAATGCTCTATCTTCAAAGTACCATCCTACACAAATCCTTGCTGATCTTATGACCATGCATGAGCACTTCCACAACCATCGCAACAGTAACAATGGTAATGCAAAGGGCCAGTACAGTGCACACACTCAACACCCCAGCGAAACTCTTCCTGGTCTACGTGTTGCATGGGTTGGTGATGCAAACAATATACTGCAGGAAATGTTGGTTTCATTTCCCAAGCTTGGCATCAGTATCGCTGCAGCATGTCCTCCAAACTATGTATGTGACAAGGATGTGGTCGAGATAGCAAAAGCCGATGCAAAAAAGACTGGAGCCACGGTCTTCTTTACAACAAGCCCTGAAGAAGCCATCAAGGATGCTGATGTGCTTGTAACTGACACATGGTATTTATATTTCCAAATATATATATATGTATATATTCTGATTCTATTAATTATCTAATCGCATATATACCTACCTTTATATATATATAGGGTAAGTATGGGCCAGGAAGACGAAAAGGCTATTCGCTTAAAAGAGTTTGCTGGTTATCAAGTGACAATGGACCTTGCTAAGCGAGGAAAAGCCAAGCCTGATTGGGTGTTTATGCATTGTCTCCCAAGAAAACAAGAAGAGGTTGATGATGAAGTAAGTTTTTATCTTTTATGATAATCAGAGATCTTATATATCAATCTAGGTTTTTTACTCTGATCGTTCACTTGTTTTTCCTGAAGCTGAGAACCGAAAATGGACTATTCTATCAGTAATCGAGACTTTGATGGTGAAAAAGTAGAGCATTAAAATACACAGCACCATAGTTTGTCTATCATGTAAAATGTCTTCTTTCTTCTTTCCAAGTCGTAAACATATACATATACAAGACACACACACACACACACACACACACACACACACATAGTAGTAGCAGTAGTATTATATATATATATATATATTCTTTGACTATTATGTATTATTTTTTGGTATTGGCTAAGCAATTTAAATTAATAAACTCAATGTTTATATATATACATTTAAAAAAGGTTTGTTCGTCAAAATTGTGGACGTTATTGAGATTATATACATGACCACAAGTCAAATCTGCACATTTTAATAACTGACCGTGAGATATGTAGAGAATAACACTATTTGTGTGTGTGGGTGCCGTAGCCAAATAGACTTTTTATTTCTTTACAATCAAATATTTATGTAATGATATTCTATATGGTGATACCTTCTGTTTGAGCTTTTTTAGTCCCTTTCCTGTTCATTCTCACTATATTTAACGTTAAGTGTATATTTGAAACATAATCATTTATTATTATTACTTTAAAAAAAAAAGACGTTTTACTTATTATCTTTAAGCCTTATAATAATAATAATTTCTATATTACAGAATATTACCATACTCTTATGGTTATATATCTTGATAACACTCTGCTTAATTCTTATAAAACCTGCCAACGCACAGTGAGCTTTTTTTTTGGGAGGTACTCATTTGTTGGATATCATGCTTTCTATATATTCCACCAACCTCATCAAGAGTACAAGGAAAACGCTTTAACTCACTCATAATAGCTTATCCGCTTTCACTTAACGAAAATATTTCTGAAAGCATATTTAAATCTGAACAATAAATTATACTTTGGAAAATGGTTTACTAAAAAAAAAAGATTGTTTCTGAGAAAAGTCATAAATTAAATACAGAGAATAAGCTATAAATCGAAATTGATCAAGTAAAGTAGCTTTACATCTATATTAGACCTAGTAAAGCACATAAAGATCCACCATCTAAAAGCTGTTTGACATTGATTGGGCAGAAACTGATTCAAATATCCTATTTTTTCACTCTAAAAAAACAATTTACTAATAAAGATTTGGCTATTTGCACCAAAAGTCCATTTTGGATACCCACTTTTCCTCAGGACGTACACCTCAAAAAACAGTTAGAAATTTTTGCTTTCTTTTACTAAGTAAAGTCGTGTACGAAGATAAATGATGACGGCCAGTGCTTTTTTGACCAACATCAGGCCAATATTCATGGAGATATCGATAGCTTTAAAAATGCTAGTATCGATATTTACACCACTAAAAGATGCTATTTAAATTCCCGGCGGTACAGCAGATATTGGTAAAAAAAAAGTCACATAGTAGTCATGGTAATGCTCTGTATGGTGACAATGCTATAATTTTGATTTCCTAATTATCGTTATATCCAACTTTGACAGTGTCCCCTGTTTCTTCTTCGTACTCTTCTTTAGTACAATAAGAGATATATGAATATTAAATTAAGAAAAGAAAAAGATCACTTCAAAAGAAGAGAAGTAACACCCAACGAACAAATCAAATGCATTTCAATACAGTGAATTAATGATATGGTGAAAATCAATGACTTGTAATTTATGTATGCGCACATGCATGAAAATGATATTCATACAATAACATCCTTATTGACGGTTAATGAAAAAGAATATCTATTATTTCGTATGAAATAGTAGAAAAAGGCGCACATATACACCATATTAATTAAATATTCATATATATGTATGTCTTGAATTCTACAGTGTATACATATACATACATAATAAATACAAGTTGCTTGGACAGTAAAAGAAGTTTGTATAACTTAAACACGTGATCTACCGTTGTAAGAGTAAGAGGCTGCTTTATAAGCAAGACCGTACGTCCTTTTTTTTTATTCTTTATTTTAACAAAAAAAACGAATACAGTATACAATGTCAAGTGTCGACAAGAAGCTATTCAAGGTAAGTAGGCATATAGATTTTTTACTTTAAAATGAAAATAATAATAATATCAGTAGTAGTAATAGTAAAAGTACTCGAGCTAACCAATGTCTGACATGTCAAATGTCTACATGCATACACACATATATATATATATACATAGACAGAGTTCGCAGTCGAAATGACCTGCCAGTCATGCGTAAATGACATTACCAAGGTGCTCCAGAAGATTCCAGGTAGGTCTACACATCTGTTTGACTTGTAACTATAAAACGTATATCTTATTTAGAGTACATTCTCTTCTTTCTGCTTATATTTAGATATCAAGGAATTCGATGTGAGTCTAGAGAACCAACGTGTTACTGTTCAAGGTAGTGGTAAGTAATTCTCCTCCCTCTTATATATATATATATATATAATAACAATAAATCATTGTTTTGTCTTGTCTTGTCTCGCTGTTGTTGTACAGCCCCTCCTTCCCAGATATCCCGAGCATTGAAAGATACTGGCCGTACAGTTATTGTACGAGGTCAAGGTGTTGCTAATGGACAGGGACATTCGGGTGCGGCTGTTTGTATCTTTGATACCTTTGGAGACAATCCTTTGAATCCAGTACCCCAAGATACACAGGGGTTGGCTAGATTTGTTCAAATTGATCAAGACACATGCTTGATTGACCTGACAGTCGAAGGATTGAAGCCCGGACTTCATGGTGTTCATATCCACGAGTGCGGTGACATATCACAGGGCTGGATGTCTGTTGGAGACCACTTTAATCCCACAAATGTAGATCACGGTGACTTCGAATCTGGCCATGTTGGTGACCTGGGAAATATCGAGGTCGACGAGAATGGCTGGGGAGACTTGGTGATCGAGAGTAAGCGAGTGAAGGTCTGGGACATCATTGGCAGAAGTATGGTCATTACAGAAAACCGAGATGACCTTGGAAAGGGTGAAAGTACTTCTTCTTCTTCATCAACAACAAAGTGGGATGGAAATAGTGGTCCTGGTCTGCTGTGTGGTATAATTGCCCGTAGTGCAGGTGCATTTGAAAATGTTAAAAAGGTTTGCGCATGTTCAGGAAAGACATTGTGGGAGGAAGCAAGAATTCAACAAGAAAATAAAGTGCATGCAAGCATCTAATATTTACATATGCATTATACTTCTTTACTATACATCCTTTGTACTTTAAAAAACATTCACAAAAGAGAAAGAGCGTCTCTTTTTTTGTATAAAATATATATATTATGATTAGTAATATCGATGTCATCAATATCACCTTTTCTATAGACTCAAAATAAAATCTAGGTTGCGTGATAAGAAAAGTAATATTTATGTTTTATTCTTATGCTTCGATCATATAATATATGTAGCTATACATAGACAAATACATAAATACATTTGTAAATATGTGAACCAAGCAAGGTCCCTTTTTTTTCTTTTTTTCTTTTTTTTTTGGTAGTGCTTTCCACGTGACTGATAATAAGATTAACGGATTATTTCTTGCTTATTTTTTTTTAATTTTGCTTTTTTTGTTGTTGTTTTTTGTTCTCGTTATTAACATTTTACTACTGTTCATTGATCATGTCTCATAGTATTTGGGGTAAAATAAATTTGAAATTTCCAAAGGTCCATTCGAGATTATAAGTCAAAGGAATTTTAATTATTGTTTTTTCTTGTTGTAATTGTCTTCAATTGATGTATAGCCGAGGTAATTACTCCAGAAGAACGATGCAGAGTAGACATCGATGGCGTTCTCTGCCTGTCAATGGTAAAAAGAAAAACAAAGAAAAAATATATAATATTGTATAAATTGTGCATACAAGTGTGAATTTATTTAGCATTTGTCATTTTTTATTTATTTATTTATTTTACAATACAGGCAACACTTATGCCACATGCCAAAAAAGGGCGCACTACTCTTTTACTAGAGGTTAATGGACTAGAGTACGCGATCTGCTCACTGATTGCTGACAATGTAAGGAGAGTAAATAGCTAGGAGAATTATTATAGTTATAGTTATAAGAATAGAGAGAAGAGATGTAGATCCAATTCAATTTTAATTCAATTAATTACCTGGTTTATTGATGTGTGTTTATCTATATTCTTAGGTTGAGAACCAACCTTTACGCATCTTTCTTACTGAAGAAGACGAAGCAACCATAAGAGTTTCCGGTGCCAAGTAGGTGGTAGTTTCCACTGAATTCAACTTTAGATAAATAATTTTGGTAAAACAAAAATGGGGGCATATTGGGCTTAGAATAAATAACAGTTTACCTTTCTTTCTTTCTTTTATTCTCTTTCTTTTATATATATATATTCATGCATTCATTCGTATATTCATATATTCATATATTCATAAAAAAAACATTTATAATTATTGGCTCAAGTTCCATTTCATTGACGGGCACAGTAGAGCGTGATGAAGATTTTACACCCGAGGAGGACGAAGACGCAGATAGCCACGGATCGCTTCAATTCCGTGATCCTTCTGATAATACTTTCTTGGGTGGATTTGAACTGAGACATTTTGGGTTAGCCCAGCAAAACTCTATGTTTGACAAAGTTGATTTACGAAAAGAAGAGACTTCTTTAGAAGAAGGCGCACTCAAGTAAGACAGTAATTTGGTCAAATCTATCAATCAACCGATATTTTCAATTGATAAACTATTATTCTTATCGTTATCTCTTTATCTATTCAAATAATAATGATAATAATCTAGTGATCGAATTGTTATTGGACTTATCAACAGTATGAAGAACAGTGGCGACAAAGCAAAGATCAAAATGGCAAAGACCTTACGTAGTAAATTGAACCAAAGTATAGCTGAACGCAATACCAAACAAAAGTCATTAAAGTAGCAACGCTTTATTGGACCGTAATGAACCACATACAAGAAAACAAAAAAAGGGAAAAATAACGCATAATATTAATTTATTGTACTTTAATGTATATAATCATACATAGCATACATACATACATACGTACATTTATGAATGGGTGTATTGGTGTATACATATATGTATACCAATATGTATGTATACAAATATTCATGTATACAAATATGTATGTAACATGTATGTATGTATGTATGTATGTATGTATGTATGTATGTATGTATGTATGTATGTATGTATGTATGTATGTATGCTATGTATGTATGTATGTTATGTATATATAAAAGCAGTCTATAATAAGCATGTCTGTATTTATTGGTATTTGAAACAAGTTCTTTCTATCAAATAAAACAGTCTTAATGATTTCTTAGTACTTGAAAGTATCAGTACTTTCCGAGACTGATACGCTTTCCTTTTTGGTTCTTGTGTTGGCAATAAAAGAGGTTTTATGGCAAGAAGTAAATCTCTTTTTGGTAGGAATTTTGCTTGGTTGGGTAATCACAGCTTTGATCAAACAATAGTACATTTCTTTGAAGTCTAAAGTCTAATCCAAAATAGTTATAGCATTGAAGTAGGTCAAGTAATTACATAAAATTTCTATTTCTATTTGAAATATAATATTAAGCTGCTCTTTTTTTTTGACAATACACTGTGATATTTAGGCTATAAGCGTACAATTCATATCTATCTCCCTATCTCTTCTCTTTGGTGGAATACAAATTTTGTGCCATTACTTGGTTCACTCAAATATTATACATATTTGAAAGTGCATGATTTTTTTTTGGCTTTTAATTAAATGAGAGTCATTGTTATCATTATTATCTTTAAGCAAAAGAGAATATAATGCTGGACTAAATCCCCTCTTCCTGTGTTCCCCGTGTCTCTCCTTCCTATCTAACTCCTTTTCTACCTCCTCTTTCCTTTCCTTTTCATCTTCCTTTGACCAAGGGTGAATATGTAACTAAAGAACCCCTCATTAGCTTACATATCTTTGTTCATATTATTTCATAATCATTAACACTTTGCTTGGGACTCTTTCGGTAGAATTCTACTAGTTGTTATACAAGTATATATTTTATATCAGAAGAATCTGCTCTCTGAAATATGTCTGAGGGTTATTTTTGTTTTTTGTTTTTATTGATTGATTAGTGTAAAAGGTAATATTCTATGTGCAACCTATTTGAAAATACTTTTAAAAGAGTGAATGGCCTGATTCATTTTAAATATAAAGAAGAGCCATGAGTAAGAAAACCAAACAAACCATAATGATTGAACGATTAATAATCCGAGCAATTGATCGGTCGACTGATTTATTAATTGATTGATTGATTAATCGACTTTTATATATATATATATATATGTGTGTGTGTGTTCAAAATACAGCAAGCATAATATGCAATGAAAGAAGAAGAAAAGGAAAGGAAAGGGAAAAGTATATATATATGTGTGTGTATGTATGTATTTTTTTTTAATTCTTATAATATTTGAGCACTTGCAAAACAACGTGGGCCTGTGTATCCGATCAGACCAACGTACTGAAGGTCAATGTTTTCATGGTCTGATTCATCCCGAAGTAATTTAATCAAAACGTATTTTCCAGAGCTAAAATAATATGTATATTGATAAATGGTTTAATAAGGTACATAATCTAATTATATATATATATATATACATATATATTAGATTTACTTACATGTTACCAACAGACACCATGTCTTGGTTTAACCGCGTCGCACTAAACCAGCCCACAGGATCAGAATCTTCAAGGTAATCTCTACCTTTGGCTGTTACATATTTTTCATAGTCTGCTCTTGTGAAACGATCAAACTTTGCTGTACCTGTCACATAAATATTTAATATACGTTAGATTTGGTGTGGAAACTTTTATCTCTGTTTTTTATTTTCTATTTCTCTGATATCTTTCAATTCAATTTAGTTCAGTTTGATTGATTTTAATCTATAGTAGAATCGAAGCAAAACACAATAGGTAGGTGTCTTGTCAATAAAGCTTACTTTCTGTTTTTATGGGATGATGAGAAATGAAAATCATTCCCTCTTTACCTACAGTACATGATTATATATAATATGGGTCTTATCTTGGTTAAACAAAATCAAGCCAAGAAGAGAGAAACTGATATTCTAATCACAGAATCATATATATATAATTCTTATACAAATATAGAAAGTAAAAAAAAAAGTCTTACATGGTGCTGTAAATCTACAGCAATTAGATTATTAGATTAATTATCAAATACATTTATATAATAATAATAAAAATAATAATAAAAATCAAAATAATCAACTTACCCGTACTGAGGTGATTTGATTACTACATTAGAAACAACGCAGCTCTGGCTTGTGGTAGTATTTGTTTGTCCACCGTAACGGAGTACAACGTTGATTGTACCATGTCTACCAGAGCTAATTCAACACAGACAGAATATATACATATAAAAGAAAATTAACGTATTGTTTTAAAATGTCATACCTATATACAAACATGTACAAAATGGGACAAGGGTCTTCTTCTACACTGTACTGTGTATATATGCATATCATAAGTTTATATAATGCAATTTCTTACCAGTAAACTGAAGCATCATTTCGTAAAATATTCTCAACTCCATATGATGAGCTGTAGTCGGTAGTTAAATATTACTGTCACCCAAAAGGACCAGTGTGCATAAATTATATATATAGATATATGTGTGTGTGTTATTCTTACCCATAACTCCCGCCGTCATCCATGTCAATCCCAAACGTTAGGACTACATGCTCCATACTGCTAGAGTCCTTTTCAGTGGCAATTTTACACAACTTTGAAAGGTCAACCGCATATTCAGTAGGACATTGTGTACCATCCGCTGTGCCAAATGATCCACGGCCGGGCCAGATTACAGTATTATTGTAACGGTTAAGATTATTGTTGCTGTTGATGTTGCTGTTAACATTAGCGAACACTAAACTTATGCTATCCTGGGTTCCATTTTCGTTTTGGTTTTCATTATCATCATGATTATCTGCGACAAGGAATTCATTATTTTCATCAATTTCACCGTATTCAGTCAGATCATCCGAAAAAGGGTCTAAAAAAGATGCCAGATTTCCATGTCTAGCAGTAAGAAACTGAGTAAAGGGGCTGTCGACAGGCATGCTGTTACTGTTGCTGTTTCTGTTGCTGCTGTCGTTGTTGTTTCTGTTGTTGCTATTGTTGCTATTGCTGCTTCTCCTGCTGCTTCTTCTACTACTTCCCCTGTTACTTCTGCTGCTAGTTCTGCTGCTAGTTCTGCTGCTAGTTCTGCTGCTAGTTCTGTTGATGCTTCTATTGCTGCTGCTGTTACTGCTGCTGTTGTGTTGCTGATCCGATGATAATGATGGTGTTGGTGAAAAAATAAATGACATTGACGGCGACGACGGCAACGACGGCGACAACGACGATGTTGATGTTGCTGATGATAACGTACGGCGGGCCTCGGCTCTACCCATGAGAGGACTTGGTATTGTTTGTATGTGAAGAGAGCGAAAATCATTGACTTGTGCTGGAGGTACAATTGTGGTTGTGGTTGTTGTTGTGGTTGTGGTTGTTGTGGTTGTTGGTGGTGGCTGCGGCGTTGGGGTTTGGTACACCCGAGAAGGATCTCTGGCTATTGCTTCCGAGAATCGAACGTGGGCCGGGCGCGCGTATATCTGCGGAGGAGGTGGACCGAGCGGTGTACTGATTATAGTAAGTGTTCGGTCAGAGTCTACAGACTGAAGTGTGCTCTCAATGGATTGGGCAGAAAACATGGGCGAGGGTGAAGAAGAAAATGGAAAGGATGAATCGTATCCAGATTCGATATTTGGTGCAGCAGAAGGCATTTTGTTTTTTGTTATATTTTCAATACTAACAGTAATAGTAGTAGTAGTAGTAGTAGTAGTAGTACTAGCAGCAATATCAATACTGATACTGATATCAATAGTAATAGCAGTAAGTGGTAAGTGGTAAATATTAATATTAAGAACAAGAATAAGAGCTATCTTGGTTGTAATGCACTTGCAATTAAAATAAGAAAAATAAAAAAGAAAGAAAGAAAGAGAGAGAGAGAGAGGGAAAAAAAAGACGAGGGGACTCTATCAGGAAAAGGAGAGTAGTGGAAAGGAAATCCGTGGCACTACATTTTTTGGTTCCGTTTAGCGGTATTGTGACTGCTGGTTGTAACGAAGTTTCTACCTTTTTGTTTCAATTTATTTCAAAAAGAATAAATAATGCGTTTAACAATATGCTATATAGATATATAGATAGATAAAACAACAGACTATATGCTGGATCCAAAATATATAGAGAAAAATAGTATACATAATTTCTATTTATTTACACATAAATTTGATATTAACATATGTAATTTTAAGCTGGGAATCAAGACATTATATATATATATAAAATACAAATAACATCTCCACTCAAAACCTTGATAGTGCTTGACAAACAAATATGAAAATGTTGACTTGTCTAACAAATAAAATAGCTAGAAGAGAAGTGTTTAAGTGTTGGTGAAGTAAATTTGGAACTCCATGTATGGCGTACTGTGGCTAGTGTGTATATTGGAATAAGAGCCATGATTGTTTATTGCATATGTGGTGCTGTCTATGTTGGGTAGACATACTGTTCAGTTTGGTTTGGCCTAGTCTGAGGGGTGGTTTACTCCCATATGAAGCTGTAAATATTTCAAAAGATAGTACAACCGTAGACACTATAATATTTTAACCTAGTACGAGACTACTAAATAAAACACATTTTACACACATCATGTATATATATATATATATATATTCTCTCTATCATAAAGTATAACTTTGTCGCAGAGGACATGGGACCGCTATGGTCAATTTTGCATCGATTGTATTCACTGAGAAAGAACTATTTATTTTACTTTCTTTTACATCTTTATTATATTACTCACCTCCCGAGCCTTTATTACTTCTTTTCAAACCTTGTATGGAGTGTGTACGTATTTCTTCTGCTCCTTACCTGGCCTAGATATTCATTCAAATCAAACTTTGTCATAAAAGAATTCCCGTTGCCCAATATATAACAAAATCTATTGAAACCATCATTGCGCTGAAATCGAATTAGTGCTGATACAATGACGTAGTTATATATTCCAAGTGTTAACTTGTATGTGTACAGTCTAATCCAGTCAGGCAGGTAGGCATGCAGACATACAGACATGCAAACAGCCAGGCAGACAGACAGACAGACAGAGGCTGATAAAAATATTGGCGGTTTTTACAAGTATACTTTCTTTTTTAATTCTATTTTATTGGCACTGTCAACGCATACAATGCACGGCCTTTGAAATGCCTAAATAAGTGGAAAAGGAGAAAGGAGACATAAAGCCTATTTAGCTAGTGGTAAAGACATAAGCTTTTCGGATAGCAGCTATTCTCTTGGAAGTGACAGTGTTAGAAAAGGAAAGGAACACTGTCAAAGACCTTGACTCAGTATGTGTATCAGATTGCATGAACATTATAACAGAACCAATCACATAGTTTAAAGGGAAGGTGAAATAATAGCGAAAAAAAAGACGAGCGAGGTGATTATCGGAGACGTACCAGGAAGGACACAATTTCTGGAACAATCGTATTTCGCACCCGAGACTTTCTGGACCAAAGAAAAGGTGTTGTAGACTGATATTTTTCACTCCCCAAAACTCCCTAATATAATTGAGTGGGGGTTTCGTAATGGCAAAGAACAAATCAGAAAGAAAGAGAAATAACAAGCTGAAAACTTCAAGTTCAACAGAAAAAAAAGGTACACTCAAGAATTGCTGCTTTATATGCAATTGTGGTAATCGATTATTATTATTATTATTATTTAAAAAAAATAGAGAAAATTCGGCAAAGAGAACCTAATTTGTTGCTATGGAAATGTTATAAAAGAACGATTATCAAAAAGCAGAGGACCATTAGGATCGAAAAGAAGTACAAAAGGATACTATTGAATTCAATTGCAGTAAAGTAATAGATCGGCCAGTCACCGTGGGTACTTCCTTGCAACAACTAAGCAACAAAGGTGTTTACAGAGTGTATAATTGAGTATACACACCTTGTGGATACCTCATTATTGGAAAACTGTTTGGGTAAAAATATATCTATAAGCACATTAAGAAAAATACGTCCCTAAACACACATTCTTTCCCGTAATGATAGTTAATCTTTATCCATGGTTACATTAAAACCATATATAAATTTCTGACTTTTCTTTTTTTTTTTAGAAAAAAATTATTTTTGCATTTGGACGCTGGTTGATTTTTTTTGACAGCTGAATTCCTTTGATAAACTGTTTTTATATATAATATATATATACATATCCATGTACTGGCCATTAATACTTTGAAGATAGAGAGAAATGGAAATCAATTAAAAACTCTGTATAGCTTCTTCAAATGTTTAACAGCTAGTAAGCAAAAGTAGCTTATTAATATATATATATAATATAATGGCTTTAATGAAATAATGATAAATATAAAGGTAGATCTTTAAAGTGTCTTTAGTTTTCTAGAACGATGTACACTAGTATAAATACTGAGAATCGCACTTTTAACACCGAGGACAATTAAGTAAAACAAGCCAAGGACTGCCAAAATCCACGTAGCATGGACGTCTAAATTATTAGCCTTTACAAAAGACATTTTTCTCGCGACCTCATAGCGATGAGGTAACGCACCATCCACGTTTACAAAAGCAACTTCTTCAACTAGATCGGCACCACGCCGAACTCCGGTTTGAGTGTGAATTTGAACAAGCGCCTTGTATCGATTGACAGTCTGCTGAATCACCCCACCTTTGTCCCTAACCACTCGCTCAATTGCCTTGTTTGCTTCCAACTGAGATTTTTTGTAGTCCACAAAAGCGCCCAGCTTGGACCTTTCGATATTACGTGCCGTGCCAGGCTGGTCTCCGCAGAATGGGTACCCAACCAACCGTTTGCCGGCAAACAAGGCTTCGTGTAGTGATCCAGCACCACCGTGGGTCATGAACATTATCGTAGATGGATGATTGAGAACTGCGTACTGTGGAGCCCATCGGACCAGCCGAGAAGAGGGAATCTTGTCTTTTATCAGGTCTGAATAGTAGTAAGTTGTGTTGGATGAAGTCGTGATCGAGGTAGGAAAGTCCTTTGTCAAGTGAACTGTGGCCCACACAAAGCCATCAAGAGCACCGTTTTCTATGTTTTCAAACATGGCAGTCAGTATCAAACGAGTGTCGTGAAGTTCTGGGGTGGCATGCTGTCCAAAAGCAATGTAAGCAATTCGTTGATGGGTGTCGAGATAGCTCTTCAAAGAGTCTGTCAGTGGCTGGTGGTTTCGTGGAATAATCGGACCAACAAATTCGACAAGTGGTCCAACCGGGCGGGCGGGTTCAAACCCAAATACGGTATTGACCATCTTTAAAGAATCTTTCCAGAGACCAATTTCATTTCCATTGAATCCTGATATGCCGACCGAATCAAGTTTACGACTGAATTCTTTGGCATATCCCATAGTGCGGTAGATGGTGGTATACGGCAGAATTGTGGTCGTGTACAGACGCTTAAAGTATGACTGGTACAAGGTTATTGGATCCTCCATATCCATTATTCCATTATTGATGTATGGTGCCTTTGAGTCTATCGATGCGTTATTACTCAAGCATTCCCATATAGCTTATTTGTGTGTATTGATCTGTAATGAAAAGTGAAAATAAAAGAAAAACTTACCGGGAGATATATCTATACTAGATGTAATAATAAAAGGAATCTTCATTTCGCGTGCTACAAGGACACATATGGTTGTGAACATATCGCACAAGGCAACGTCTACATTATTTTCAGTAAAATAGGAGCGGTAAAAAGCAACCTCTACAAAACCAAAACCAAGATTAAGAACCAGGGAAAAACATAAGGAACACAGTTCAAATACATTTATAATAATATTCAATAACAACAAAGCGTCAATAATATATGCAATTTTGGTGTGCGTGTGTTTTGCTTTACCTTTTTCTGTTTCGCTTCTTATAGGGCCCTCGACAACCTTCATCCTCTCTATCCAATCGCCTCGCTTTCCTGAAGTAGTTGGAAGCCAACTCTGCACCAAACGTTTTCCAATTGAAACAGATTTGATTTTAGGATAAGGCTTGCCAAATTTTAGATGATCATCCTATATACACATAAACACACACACACACATATATATATATATGTATATATGTATAATGTATCAGTATATGATCTAATATTTCAAATTAGACAATATATATATTGCTGTTGTTTTTACCCGAGTAATGTATGTGATATTGTGTCCTCTTGTTGCTAGTTCTTCAAGTATGAGGAGCACCCAGTTGATGTGAGATGACCCACCAGCCTGGCATGAAAAGACTATATTCTTTGAGACTCTAAAGTCTTCAACAAGTTCCAAAGTATTTGGATTTGGATTGTCGATAGAGCGGGTAGGTACAATAAATGATAGAAGAATAAATAGTAAAAAATTGAAAATTATTGGCCACTTCATTCTTATCAAGAGTGAGCTTGCTTTTCTTTTCTTTAAATCAAGGACAAGATGTGGAATTTACCATGTTTTCTTTTATTTTATATATATATTTTGAAAAAAAAAAACATTTGCTTTTCCTTTTTCTTCTGCTGTTGTAATTTATTTTACATCAATTTAACCGAACTTATACCTATTTTATAGGCACGTATAAAATAATAATAATCGAGTTAAAAAAATCTAGTTTTCATATACTATAATCTGATGCAGGAGCAATCATTTCACAAAACGTCCCATAAATACATATATATATATATTTATTAATAAATTGTCGATAAAAATATAATCATGAATACTACGGCAGAAATGTATGTTTCTTCTTCTTCTTCTTTTCTTTATAATAGTATTTTTGCTTTATTTTATTTAACTCCTATCCAGAAACATCGGTGTAATTCTCGGTCTACTACAAATAAAGAATTTGTTAGACATGCCCGTGAAGCTCGAGAGAAAATGGAAAGGAGAGGAGAGGAGAGGAGGAGTGAGGAAGTAAGACAAAGAAGGTTATTTGCGTCTGTAGACTATGTCAATTGTTCTCAATAAGTGCCTAATTGGAAGTTCTGGGTCTATTAATACGGAATTAACTTCAATAGATTCCACAGTGTTCTTTAACCAAAAATAAAAAGCGAAGACGATGTCGATGTCGATGTCGACAAGGATCAGTATTAAAGAAATGAACATGATAATCATAGTCTATTTAGGGCCACATATTCCTGTGGAAAAAGATTATCCCTGCATAATCTCATTCTTCTTGCTACCAATTTATTTGATATAAGAGTACTATTGAAGAACAAAAGCCTCTCTTTTCTTGTGAAATCATTACCCACTATAGCCACTCATGTATACGGCTTTTATGCCTCATAGACCCGAGAATTCGGGAATTTGCATCTCTCAAACGGGTTCATGATATACACATATATATTATCAAAAACTAGTATAAATTTCATTTGTATAGCTATGGTTTCTCTTTGGGTTTCCGCTGATATTCTTTCCTTAATACATCTTTTTATTTATATAATCATACAGATACTTTACTGTATCGTATTGGTGATATCAAAAGAGGTTCTCTATCTTAATAAAGCGAAAAGATATTTTCAAAAAATCCGAGGTTGCGAATCTTTACCTTTAAGTCCCGTACCTTTATTCTAATTGAGTACGAAATCCAACTACATGGGTATGGTCCAATGCAACCGGATAGACACCAGACAAAGAATACTAATAAGAAATGAAGAGTTACGGTTGAGCCACGTTTGGTAGCGGAACTTCCATACAAGTAGCTTGCCCTCCGCAGTTAATTATAGGGCTGGAGTGAAGGCTAAGGTAATGGTAATGGTAACGGTAATTTTACTTTTATTTTTATCTTTGAAGTGATACACACAAAAATAGAATATATAAAATAAATGATGGCTATTGTTTTTGTTTCATTTATTCTATATTCATGATCCAATAGTTTATTCTGTGTATACTATGTGCTTCGTCAATGTGGCCACAGAGAATATATATATGTATCTTGATACTCCTCCTAACCAACCCTAAACCTGACAGTGATTTTTGTGCGGCTTGTTCCATTCTAGGGCAAAATTCTTGTTTGTGGAATTGTAATCAAACTGTAAACAAAAAACAGTCTGACCAATAGAGTCTCTTTTACCAAATACAAAATTCTGCCTTTGAGCACAATTTTGATGTGTAAAATAAAGCATAAAGATATTTCTAGTAAAACATGCTATGTTATTCTTATTATGATAGTGACAAAAATGCTTTGGTTAATGTTGGTGTTGGTGTTGATGTTGATGTTTATGTTGCTATTGTTTGCGTATGCATTATTATTATTATTGAAGTTTACGTCTAGCTAAAGCTCTTTGTCTTGTTGCTTCAATTTCATCAGCTCTACGTTTTTGTTTCACCAGGGTATCATCCGGTAAATCAATATTAGCCATCACGACCACACTCTCTTCCTTCATCTTGTCGTCCATCTCTAATACATTCGGTCCGTCTCCGCCGTTCAACCTAGTCTTGGGAAGCTTCTTGATTCGCTCCTGGCCATCCCCTGATCTCACCCAGTCCCACAGTATCTTACTAACTCCCTTCATAACAGCCTTGTTGGTGTATGTTACGTGAGTGTACATAACCCAGTCTAGCTCGGCATACTTAATCTTGTTCCGATCCAACATATCAGAAAATGCACAAAGAGGGTGGAGATGGAGGGCCACCAAGGCATTCGATCGTACTCCAAAAGACCCTTCGTCTGCTGAAATGCCTTCAGTAAGATGCTCATCTGGAGAATAATGAGAGAATACGCTTCGATTCACACCCTTGTTGGCGATATTGGTAAAGTATCCAGTCAGGAATGACTTTAATATAGGAACGGGATCGATAGTTTCCCCTCGCTCGTCTTGCCCCATCTTGCGTTTGTTACTCTTTGAACTCTTGGCCTTAATCTTTGGCGCGTGCTTAATCGGAAGACGGCATTTATCCATCACATCAATCAGCTGAGAACGGACACTGCTTGCAGTTTCTAGCACTTTGCTATTAATCCAGTTGTCTTTGCACCATCGTCTGTCCTTTCCATGTTGTCTCCACTCATGCCACACATTCAAAAACGTCATATGGTCTCCAGAGTGGTGGGCAAATCGAAGTTTGCACTCTTCTGCTTTCACCATTGCTTCTTCGCCACCCTTGCTTCGTGCACTTGGTGCTCGGAACAAATCATTCTCGCCAGCAAGAATGCTCGCCACAGTCAAGACTTCATGGCTACAGCCATATTCTTCCGCAGAACTAACCAACACCCGTGCCAGTGAAGGCGACAAGGGAAAGTGACTCATTTTTTCTCCCATTGGAGTGATCTTGCCAATGTCATCAATCGCACCGAGTAAATAAAGTTGTTTCAGGGCATTCTTGACAAGTGTTTCCTCTGGTGGATCGATGAATTCAAACCCGAGAACATCAATGATGTGCATCTTCTTCAATGAAAGCACCGTACTCAACAGACTACTCCGTTGGATTTCGGGGATTGTGTTTAGTAACATACGGTTATAGCTATCCTCATCGTAAAGTCTGTATGCTTTACCAGGGGCAGTTCTACACACACACACATACACACACACATACACATACACATACACACATATATAAATAATATACCGATTAGATGGACAACCCTTTATTTACTTATTTAGCTATTATTAAGCTATACGATAACCTACCTTCCTGCTCGTCCTGCTCGTTGGGTTGCGGCTGCCTGACTAATTTCGGTTACCAACAAAGCATCCATGCCTGTATTTGGATCAAAAGATTTTTCCTTGACAAATCCTGCATCGACCACATAACGGATACCAGGTATAGTGACTGAAGTCTAACGCAAACACACACACACACACACACAAATGAAACATTTACCATTTCTCACTTAAGTATGACTTTCTTATTATAACCCAACTTTACCACCCTTTTGTATCTTACCTGTGCAACATTTGTCGCAAATACTACCTTGCGCACAGATTCTCTAGAAGGATCAAACACTGCCTTTTGGTCAAATGTCTCCAAACTAGCATACAGTGGGAATACGACAGCATTTTTCACGCCATGTCCATCATCGTAATACTTGACTCCCTTTTTATAATTAAGTTTCCTTTCTTTGTCTTCAAAGGCTTTACAGGCTCGTTCGATATCGTGCTGTCCTGTCAAGAAAACAAGAATATCTCCCGGAGCTTCCTGGGTATGTATCTGCCATGCCGTATCAACAGCCTGATCCACCATTAGTGACTTTAAGGACGACAGTCGCTGGGAAGATTCGGGGTAGATGATGTCAACTGGAAAAGTACGGCCTGGGATTTCAAAAATCGGACACTCGTCAAAGAAATCAGAGAATTTTTCGACGTCCAAGGTGGCTGACATGATGAGAATCTTGAGATCAGGTCGTAACCGATGGGTCTGCTTCAACAGACCAAACAAGACATCTGTCTCGAGTGTACGTTCGTGTGCTTCATCGATAATGACAACTGAGTACTGGCTAAGGTGTGGATCTTGAGTAGCTTCTCTAAGCAAGACACCATCTGTCATGTATTTGAGCTTGGTTGATGAGCTAGTACGGTCGTCGAAGCGGATAGTGTATCCTACAGCTGCCCCTAAACTAACGTCTTGTTCTTCGCTCACTCGCTTGGCCACTAGTAATAGTATAAAGAAGAAAAACCTTTCTATTTTTAAAACACAAAAAATCTCTATTTTCTTCTTCTTCTTCTTTCTGTTGTTAAATAAATCTATTATTTTAAAAAAAAAAAAAATCAGGGTAATTACCTGTGATTGCAGCAATTCGTCTAATTTAGGAAGCAAGAAAAACAAAAACGAAAGAATGTAAGTAAGTTTACTAATTTTATTCATGTTAATATTAATTCTTATTCTAATGCTATTGTTAATGTTAAAAGAAGATATCAAATAATTGTCATGAACTTTTATCTTTCTTTTTCTTTTTTGACAAACACATGTATCTATATATATAGCGTGTGGGTAGGTGAGAGTTCTACTTCATCATACCTAGGCTGTGTTACGCCAATCTTCTTTACGTCTGGAAGAGATTCGAGAATGTATTGAGGAATCTGAGTTGTTTTACCCGAACCTATTGTAAATGTCAGTTGAATCTAGAGCGAAACAATGGATGGATTCATTTACCAGTTTCACCAATTACAACAAGGATGCTGTATTCTCGAATGGCTTCAATCAATTCATCTCTGTATTCATACGTTGGAAGACTCTCTCGCTGCTTTTGAATACGATCGCGTTGATTCATCTGCAAAATATACAATTGTAGATCGTGTGGTACACACACACACATATATATATATACACATATATATATTCATGTTCGCCGCATTTACTGCGTCATAAGCACCTGAGACTCAAATCAAAATTAACATTTTAGCGAAAGAAAAATCTATATTGAAAAAATGCAAATGAAAAATAACGGAAATTGT